TTTCTCACTGTTCCTCTTTGTCTAAGCACGAAAACGTACTCTGGTCATCCACTTAAGCGTGGCATGGGACTTCGAGCACCCTCCTCACCATCCTCCTCCTCCTCATTATTCTGCCCACGAAAGAAGACCGAATACGTCGACAATCGCATATCAACCATGGCTAATATAGAGAGAGCTATTGAACAGGCGATACTGTCCATCAATGCTGTCCCTGGTGATTACCGGGTGTGGCCTGGATATCTCAACAAACTTCACCTTGCGCTCGTTGAGCCTCATGCGACTATCACTGCACTAGACATTGCCACGCAATTGGCTCAGAACGCCATCGATAACATACCAGGCGGCTATTCGGAGCGTGAAGAATGTATGGACGTCCTTTCAATCTTGTATCGGAAGAGATACGCTCTGCATCTGAAGACAAATGCTTTGCAAAACGCTCAAGATGACATTGGATTGGCCATCAATTTAGCCCAACAATGCTACGACGCCACGCCCAAAGACCATCCACGTTGGACCAACCGCTTGAACAGACTTTGCAGCTGGTTAAACGATAAATGCATGGTGCCAGGGGATGCGACTGATTTGGACAAGGCTATCCGAATGGTCCGTCATGCACTGGAGGTCACCCCAGTGCCTTCACCGGACCGATCCGACCACATGAGCAGCCTAAGTAACCTGCTTGGCAGAAAGTATAGGAGCACGAAGGCCGACAAAGATTTCAAAGAAGCCTTGAAAACGACGCACGCAGCCATGGAATTTCCAGGGGGCGCCAAACACCGGGCTGTGTGTCTGCGCTGCCTGGCAGTTCTGTGGAATGTTCGATACGAGTGCTCCTCAGCCATAGCTGACCTACAGGAAGCTATCAAGGCTGCACAGCAAGTGATTGAGACATCGGTACAGGGCAGTGAGGAATGGCAGGGTGATGTGAGACTTTTGGGGATTCTACTTCACCAGAAACACTCGAAGACTCGTGCGGACTCGGATCTAGAAAAGGCCATTCAAGAGCAACGAAAAGCTATGAAGTCTCTTCCTCGGGGAAGCTGGAACTGGACATCATGCTGTTTCACTCTCACAAATCTCCTCAATGACAGATACTCTCAGCACTCAGACGAGAGGGATCTCAATGAAGCCATTCAGGTTGCAAGAGAAAATGTCGACGCCACGCCTTCAAATCATGAAGACAAATTCAACCTTTCAATGCAGCTTTTGAATCTACTCGACGGGAAGCGGGACTCCATGAATGATAGGCAAGAATCAGAGAACACCATACGTCTAGCGCGTCAGCTTTTGAATGAGACCCCGGAAGACGACGATGAAAACCAAACGAAGTTGAGGACCATTCTCGGGCACTGGCTTGGTGATAGTTACTCGAAGACAGGGGATGTTGACAAGCTAGATGAGGCGATTCAAATCACCCGCGAGGCTATCTTATACACCCCATCAAATGACCCTGGCTGGGTGGACTATAGAAACAGCCTTGCAGTCTGGCTTGTTGAAAGACATCACAGGAAGGGGGTATTAGCAGATCTGGATGAGGCCATTCAGCTAGCTCGAGAAAATGTCGATGCTTCTCACGGTGGAGAGAGGGTTGAGGAGTTATCTAATCTCGCGTCCTGGCTCAGAGGAAGATTCGAGATTGAGGGAGCCCTTTCAAATCTCGAAGAAGCCGTTTTACTTGCGCAACGGGCAGTCGAAGCTACTCCTCTAGAGTCAAAGAACCGTTACAAAAATTCAATGACTCTAGCAGGCATACTTAAAGCCAGATACATAAGGTTAAGAAACTCGGAGGACTTAGATGAGGCTATCCGCTTAGCCCGCAACGCTGTTGAGACCATTCCTTCTGTTCATCGGGATTGGGCAGCATGCGCACATAATCTAGCAGGCGATCTTCACGACAGGTTTCAGAGGACGATTTCCCTGGATGATCTGAATGAAGCCTCAAAGTTTGCCTACGCCGCCACAGAAGCTACAGATCAAGATGACCCACGTCTAGTCGTGTACCTGAATACATGCGGAGGAATCAATCAATCGATGTGGCAAGCATCTTCGAAGGATGAGTATCTTGACGAAGCCATTAATTTCGGGAGGAGAGCCCTCCAGCTTATCGAAGAAGACCACTCAGGCCGAGCTACCTACGCCAACAATCTTGCGAATTGGCTCATCGACAGACACTCGAAATCCTCAGCGGCGACGGATCTCGTAGAGGCCAAGGCGCTCTACGCTACGGTGTCAAGTCAAGAAATGTATGGAGTACGAGCTCGTATTCATGCTGGTCGAAGATTCCTGAGGCTCCCAAACATTCTTGAAGATGACGCTCGCCTGGCTTATGATATTGCCAGGACAACAACCGAGTTGGTACCTCTGTTGGCTCCCCAATCTCTTCAGCACACAGATAAGCAGCATGTTCTGGCTGAAGCTGTGGGAATAGCTTCAGATGCGGCTGCCATCGCACTTCATTTCCAAGAGGCCACAGAGGCCGTCAGGCTGCTCGAAACTGGTCGAGGCATTCTCGCCGGCGCGATCCAAGACATGCGAACAGACCTATCCAGCTTACAGAAAAGTCACCCCTCACTGGCGGAGGCTTTCATTGCGCAACGTAACCAGCTTGACAGCCCGAGCCCCACGGGAGGCTTGTTACCAGGCGAGCCAGGAAACAAAGTCAGCGCGGACCAACGCTATAATGCATCCAAAGCCCTACAAGACACTCTCCGCGAGATTCGAAAAATACCGGAGTTCGAAGGTTTTCTACTTCCGCCGTCTGATGAAGATATCAGAAAGACCGCCTCGCGTGGCTCTGTAGTCGTTCTGAATGTCAGCTCTTTTCGCTGCGACGCCATCATCATCACCCCCTCCGATATCCAGGTACAGAACCTACCCAGCTGTACTCAGCAAGGGATTATGGAAAGGGTTGCCCAGGTGAAAACACAGGCTACCCTTGAGTGGCTCTGGGATACCATCGTTCACCCTGTGTTCCTAACATTGGGTCTAGATCAGCCAGCTGTCGGAACCTGGCCGCGAATTTGGTGGGTTCCCACTGGCCCATTGGTGAGGTTTCCTCTCCATGCCACCGGCTATCATCTTCGACAGGATCGTCAAACGACATTAGATAGAGCAATTTCTTCCTACAGTTGGTCCTTAAGAGGGATCAAGCACACCCAACCGCGTCCAACGATGGAACTTTCGACAACATCGTTAGGCTCAAAGATGGTGATCGTCGCGATGAGGGAGACGCCAGATGAGGCAACCCTAGAATACACGGGGGTTGAGAAGGAGGCGATTTTAGACGTCACGGGGCGCGCAGACGGCCTGCAGTGCGTTATGCCTATGCCTTCTAGGTTGGAAGTCTTGTTAGAATTGGAATCCTGCGATGTCTTCCACTTCGCAGGGCACGGCAGCGCACATCCTACAAACCCTCTGCAAAGCCAACTGTTATTGGAGGACTGGAAAGAGGCACCTTTGACGGTGAACAGCTTACTTGAGCGCAACCTCGACTCCAAGTCTCCGTACCTCGCCTATCTTTCAGCATGCGGGACGGGCGAGGTCCAAGATGAGAAATCTGTGGACGAGTTAACGCACCTGGCAAGCGCCTTCTTGCTTGCGGGGTTTCGAAACGTCGTGAGCACACTGTGGGATGTGGATGACGAGCAGTCCGCACGAACGGCGAAGATGACATACGAATATATTCTAAGCACGGAGTCGGATGACGATGGGACCGTCGCGCGTGCCTTGAATCATGCTACGCGGAAGCTTCGGGGTGAGTGGGTGAGAAGACGACACGGACACGTCCCGGATGAAGCAAGCTCGAGAAATCCTGGCAAACGACGAGTAGCAGAGAGGTTGAACTGGACGCCCTACGTTCACTACGGGGGCTAGGAGCAAAACAGGTACCATGAGCAAACAGCATGGTCAGTACTGTCAAGGGCGAGTCTTCTCCAGCTCTTGGTGCAGTCATCGTTCGACAGGGTGTCTGTGTCGTACTCGCCCGCAAAGTCGCCGTCGTCGATATCGTTGTTGTGGATGTGGCATCCGCATTTGCTCTGGTGCATGTACGCAAGCCCAACGAAGCTAACGTGGACGGCGACGGCGCTGGGCATGGGATGATGTGTTAGTGGGGCCCTCTGTCGTATCTCCAATACAGGAACTCTAATGGGATTGTGGTTAGTGCGAGCGGAGTTTACCTTGTGATGAGGAGACGTTTGGGTTTCGATATGATAGTCACATTGTTTGCGTGGAGCTTTGCAGCATCCTCGCAGCGAGTGAGGAGTATGTGATATGATGAATGTTTAGCTACCTGTATTACCACCAAGGACACTGGAATGTTAGGATACCTAGTTTATCCACTCTCAGCTGCAGTGTCTCAACCCCCGCAACTCGCTGCGGCTGGGGCGCCTTCGGGCCCTCCCGCAGCAAGGCCCCCTCGAATTCAGACGCCGAAATGAACGTAAGGGATCCAGTGGTGGTTCATCAAATCCCTTCTGATAACCCTATCATGCACAGCAAACGCCTTTCTTTCTCCTACATCTGTGTTGACGCAGCCGTCACGTAACATCCTAGTCGCCTGGTGCAGTCCTCGACAAATGGCCACGTCTGTCATCCCTTCGTCCTTGAGCGTCTCATAGAAGACCCGGGCTACATCCACACAGTGCTGGTCCGAGACCTCCCAGAGCGTGCCAACCACGTGCCGAAATCCTGCGAGCTGTAACGAGTTGATCAAGTGAATCCCCTCGTCCGCAAGTCCTGGCGCTTCGTTTGCTCCTGTCGAGCAGGCCGAAAGGTATCCAAGGAACGGCTTCTTCTGAAGTCGATGGTCACGGAGATCTGCGACGGTGAGTGGGTTTTCTTTGCAGTCTTGTAGGAGCAGACAGCTCTGCGATGGTTCTGCGGGGTCCGATTTTCCGTGTCCAGCAAAATGGAAGACCTTGCAGGACTCTAGGCCCATGAGTATCTCATCCTTGTACGGTCTCGGTGTGCTGTTCCGCAACTTGAGCGACGGGCAGAAGCTAGCCACGATGTCCACTTCCTGTTGGGCCCAGAGCAGGCTCCCATTGCCAGGTGTAGTCGGCATGGCCAGCAAGAGGGCAGAATCGACCGACGACTGGACTGGTTCGTTGTGGATGTTATTTCGCCGCCCGTGGATCAATGACCTTAGAGATAGCGCGTAGGACGACATAACGCGATCAAGGACCGTCTCTCCTTTGCGCTCCCGGTATTCTCCAGCTGCGTGCAGTGGGAAGTGGCTGAGCAGTCCGGTTGGAATCCACCAGATACGCGGCCACTCTGCCAGGCTTCTACCGGATATCGAACTCGTGAAGTTGAGGGCATCAAGACAAGGACGCGCGGTCGATACCCAGAGCCACTCCAGGAGCTCATTCATGCCATCGAGATGCCCTGCAAGACACAGCTTGAGACTCCCGAAGTGTTCCTGGGCGTGTTCCTTGGTTAGAGCAGGCAGCTCTAAGACGCTGATGCTGTCGCGTTGAATAAGGAATGCATCGCATCGATAACGCGCCACGTTGATGACCACGAGAGGCCCTGAAACCGCCGCGGCTTTGAACTCGTCCTCGTCCGGGACACCACAGAAGTGGCGAAACCCATCCTGTGCCTGGATCTCTCGAACGAGCTCACCGAACCTCTTCTCCGTTACACGCCTCTTTCTTGCTTGCAACTCCCATGCAGAGATATCACCAACATCATTCTGAGACTTTGTTGAGGCTTGCAAGTTTCCAGGCGAGTCTAATTCGTCTCGGAGGGAAAGAAACTCAGTTGCCAAAGAAGGGTGCTTCGCTTTCAAGTCCGAGATATCTCCCCGCATGTCCAGCAGTAGACTGGCAATAATGCCACGACCTAGCTCCAGGAGCCTCAGAGCATCATAAGCGCTCTTGCCAGCGTTGAGAGCGACAGAAGCAGCCGTAGAGGCTAAGCCCGTGAACTTTGCCAGCATATCTTGCTTGTCGGTGTGTTGCAAAGACCGGGGCGTGGCAGCAGGCAGTAGATTGATTGCTTCCTCCAGTAACTGGTTTGCCTCTTTCCAATTTGAACGTGCGGCAAGAATTCGAGATGCATCTGTGGCCAAGCGGATGCGAACGAAAGGTGCAGCATTCTGCAACCTCGAGCCCTCTTTGAAACTTTCAAGCGCATCAGTCTGGTCCTGTTCGTTACCTGTCTGATGGTATCGATCCAGGAGCCAAGAACCGAGATTGTCCAGCATTCCCGCTCTTGCGGGGTTTGCTCGCGGGAGTTTCTCGACCGCTTCTTTCGTTGCCTCTATAGCACCATCGATGTCGTCCATATTTGTTGAACCACCTTGTCGAAATCGCCAGCCAAGCCAATTTCCTAGATTGCAAAGCCGACTAGGTAGATCGGTATGCCGCTCCTCTGTAGCACTGATCGATAATCTCAAAATCTCAATCGTCTCATCAAGTGCGGCGTTGGCTTTGGCCCCTGGAGCGGTTGAGGTCTCCTTTGACTTCCATGGATTCCTTTCACATTCGGATTGTTGACCAAGTAAGTTGGCCAGATTGTTCAAAAAGGCTGCGCGTCGAGGGCCGCTGGCAGGTGTGGAGGAGACTGCTTCTCTTGCTGCTGCAATGGCATCTTCAAGGTCGATCATGGAAGAAGTCATCTCGGATCGCGAGCCCAAGGCGTTCCCAAGCCCATCAAGCAGACGAGGTCGCATTGGGTGATCCCTGGGAAGACCTTCGACTGCTGCACGGATAGCCGCGATAGATTGATTGTTGTCATCCTTTGACCCGCTCTGCCGAGCTCGCCTGTCGAGCCACAGTCCAAGGTTCTGGATTCTATCTATACGATCAGGGTGGCTTTCGGGAGTTTCGTCAACTGCAGTTCTCGCCAACTCAATGGCGCGGTCGAGATCTTGGTCTCTGCCAAGTTGCTGAAAGCGCTCCTCAAGGGCGAGAGCAAGGTTGTTCAAGTTAATGCAACGCAAGAAGTGATTTGGCGGCGACATGTCGAGAGCTGTTTCAAGAACTTCCACGGCACGATCTAGGTTCGCGGCCGCATTGGTGAATTTGAACCGACTGTGCAGATGGTTGCCGAGGTTGGTCAAATTTTTGAGTAGACTCTGTTCGCTTTGCACCGTGGCCGCCACCGCCATCTCCATGCATTCGATAGCCCGATCAAGGTCCTCTTTGTCGCCAAAGCGGTCGAATCGCTCGCTTAGACGCAGCCCGACATCGTTCATGCGGCCTGGCCACCAGGGACTGTCACGCGGCGTAAGATTGACGGCCATTTCCGCCGCGTCAAGAGCCTTGTGAAGATCATCAACTAAACCGAATCGTTTGAAGCGCACACTTAGCCAAGTCTCCAGGCCGGAGAACGAGCAAGCTAACGAGTCCAACTTGAACGCATCAACAAAGGACTCGTTCATGGAGTCCAAAGCTTCCGTAGTAAGTTCGATGGCACGTTCAAGATCAGGTATCCAGCCTGTGCGTTCAAACCGGTCTCCATAAGCACCGCCGAGGTTGGTCAAGCGGATTTTTCGCGCGCCGGATTCATGATCACTTCGAGTCGTGTATTTGAGTGCCCTTTCTAATAATTCGATGGCGCTGTTGAGATCATCCATTGAGTCTGTCGTGTCGAACCTTTTGTAGAGTCGATATCCGGACCAGGCAGCCACACGTCCATTGCCTACGACTTCGAGCACGTCAACGGATTCAGTGGGCGTTTCATCGTCGAAAACATCAATTTGCTCCAGCTGTGAACCCGAATTCCGCATATTAGAAAGCAATCCCTGATACCGGATGTGAAGACTTGCCGCGGTCAACTCGCCCTTATGAGGAGCATGGCTGTGTTCCCTTCGAATCATTTTGACTGTCACGCCCATCTGCCGAGCCATCTCAAACACTTCTTCCAGGTCTTCGTCTTTAAAACCCTTTAGGCCGGCCATTTCCAGCATCATGTTGATCCAATCTCTGATCTGAGCCTCACGGTCAGGGTGGCAGCGAGGCGAATTCACCACCATCTCAAGGGCGCGAAGAATAGCGTGCTGCAGATCCTCCATCGCAGCTGTCCGCCTGAACCTCCTGACCAGTAAGGTCACCAAGCTCTTGAGACGCGGGGCGTATTCAGGGCTGTCGCAATCGGTAGGGATAAGCTTTCCGGCGTCGTCGACTGCACAATGTGCTCTTTCGTCGATGTTCTTGTCGAATTCGTTGTAGTACTCTAAATTGTCAAGAGAAGGGAGTTGATTCATAGTTGCCAGGAGCGTCATGACGAGTACAGGAGGCTTTGAAGACAAAGATATAGTGATGCAAACGATAATTGATGCTTTGCACTGAATAGCTCAGTGACCAATACAGAGAAGCCTGTTGGTGTTACAGACTATCGAACTACAGTCAGTGGTATGATTTATGTAGATGAATAGCCATCGTCTCCCCTCCCCATTTAAGGCTGCGGTGGCGATCCTCGGGCTTCGTTCCTGTTTGTGTTATTGCATCAACTTGCGCGGGCATGCCCAGCGCTAGCCACCTGCTTTCGTGCCCATGGCTAGGGAGAAAGAAAGAAAGAGGTAGCCAAGAGCCAATCCATCGATGCCGCGCAAAACAACACGAAGCACGCGCAAGGCTTACAGTTCCACTCTTGTGTGTTGTGAAGCTGAAGCCGCCGCCACTGCCACGTAGTATTCACACTAGCTTGAGAAACCAAAGAGAACAGGCTGAAAAGATATTGCCAACTGCGAGAACAGTCATAAGACGGCGGCTACAGCCCTGTTTGATAGAATCCTGTGCCAGGAACGAATGGGATCGTGCCGCGATCCCGAGCTGTCGAATCACAGAATGCTGCCTAGGTTGTTGTGGACAGCTCACTCACCTGACCTGAAAGGCTGAGTCACTTTCGTGTTTGCTGCTGAAGCCGAAGGAGCTGACCCCTGCACGAGCTGAGCTGCACTTCGGTTGCCGCCCGCATTGTTAACTGGTCATCCAGCGTCGACTGCCGCGATCTCACTGCAGAAACCGGCCCCTCCCCCGATGGATAGTGGGGTTCTAGTGGAAGGCCTCCGGGCCTGCCCAAGATACAGATGTACCTTACTTGGAAGAAAGTGTTTTTATAACGAAAAGCCATCCCATCCGCTAGGTAAGATCGTTGAAGAAGATACGATTCATTCGGCCGTTATAACAAGATGGTTCAAGCAACACAAAAAGACGTTCCGGACCATACGCGTACTTCAGACTCCACCGAGCGACGGAAATGGGCTCTGCTGATTGGAGTGGACCACTACATTCCAGGAGATAAGAGAGCGATACATTTCAGCCATCTCAGAGGCTGCGTCGAAGATGTTCAGAGGATCGAAAGTTATCTTCAAACCAGGAGCATCGGCGCCTGCAACATCGTGAAACTCATGGCCATTCGGAACGACCATGGAGACGAACCAGTGGGGGACAGCATGACCTGGCCAACATTCGAAAATATCAAAAGAGCAATCGAGGAAATCGGAAACAAAGTTACGAAAGGAGACCTCGTCTACATTCACTATTCAGGCCACGGAATCCTACGACGCCAATTGGGAACATTAGAAAATCCGGGCGGCGGCGACGCTGTCACCGGCACAGCACTAGCTCTCACGGATGTCATGGCTGGTGGTGCTTATTTGACAGGCTATCAGCTGGGTGTTTGGGTCAGAAAGCTCGTGCAGTTCCGCAAGGTTCGAGTGTGTCTGGTCCTCGATAGCTGTTTCTCTGGAAGCGGGTTCCGAGCCAACAGACAACCTAACTTCGACATGCGCACATCGGATACCGATTCCCCCGATGAGCAACTTCTCAAAGTCGATGAAGCTGCTGATGAAGATGCTCGCTCCATGGAAGCCGAGCTCGACGCCAGATTTGGAAGCCAGAAAGAGGATGGAGAGTACAGGAATGCCAACCTCAGGCGCTCATGGTTGTCCAGGCCGTGGGGATGCACCGTCATTAGCAGCTGCCAACTCGACCAGCAGGCTGGAGAGAGCCTCTTCGACCCCGATGATCAGGTCAGGTCCCCCACTCGGAATGGGATTCTCACTCATTGGATGCTGGACATACTTAATCACCCTGGCCCACGAACGCCTACATATACACGAGTTGTACAGCATGTGAAATCCAGAATACAGACTACGATGCCACGGAGTCAGCAAACGCCAGTTCTTCATGGCGACGGCCTCTATGAATTTTTTGGGCATGAACAACTTGCTCAGAAGCCTGCAAGTATGGTCAAATTGTTGAGGCAGCCAGGATGTGATTCGACGCTCTACCATATCGACATCGGCGCGGCACAAGGAGTACAAGTCGGAGCCATATACGCCATTTTCCCAACTTATACAACAGTACCGCCTCGTCCTGAAGGCAATGACACCTGTATCCCGCGGATTCGCATCACAAGGACAAACATGTTCTCCTCCCATGGAGAGCTGCAAGACAGCAACAACACATCCATCCAGGATGGCGATTTGGCCGTCAGGGAGGCTTGGGCCTTTCAGTCACCGAAGCCAATTGTTAGGCTTCTCGGGTTGGATGGGTATACGGACCTGGAAAGCGAACTGGAAGAAGCACTGAATGGATATCTGAGCCTCTTCGCAGATGATGTTCCGCGCGACTACAGCTTCACTATTTACATCGATGACGCCGAACATATCAACATCTGTGACGATCGGGATCCAGACGGGCAGGATTGGGTGCCCAATATACCTGCTAATGACCCCAATAGGGCCCGAAAAGCCGCTCGCATCCTGAACCACATGGCCCGTTTCAATGCTTTGAAAAGTATTGAACACGGTCTGTTGTCGAGAGCCTTGTCAAGAGACGGTTTCACCTTTGAGCCTCTCGATGATAGTGCGCTTTGGCGTCCTCTTGCAAACCTAGAGTCTGGCATGTATGAGGCAAGGCATGGCCAGATTATACGGCTTCTATTTCGAAACATTGGGCCTGCCACAAATATCCACTTAGCCGTATTCTCATTCAACTCCACTAGGGGTATTGAGAAGTTCTACCCAGAGGATGGGCAGCCGATGGCGCTTGTGTACCCTCGCAATACCTCGGAGGCATCCTTTGCAAGCCAAGAACATTTCGTCAGGCTTCAGATGCACACCCCACAAAAAGCCAACCCCGGGGACTCTGACACGGTAGACCTCTACAGAGCCTATGTCTACCAAGGGAATTCCCCACCATCATGGGACGAGCTCAGCTTGCCGGACTTGCCCAACGATGCAAGAAACATCACAGAAGAGCTTCCTGTGGAACCTGTGCTCGAGGAACACAGTGGACGAAGCGATGACATGCGGAATGCAAGGAGACTCCCGGGCAACGTCTCAAAAGATCTGGACAGATTGAAAGTCTCCGAGGACCCATGGACGTTCTTGGAATTTCGAATCCGAATAAGGGCATAGATAGAATGGATTTTCCCTCTCTTGATGTCCTTGCATATCCATCGATAACTGTGAAAATATAGCCCCAAATAAATCAAGGGGCGTCGGATCTCAGTTCACGCAGAACACGATCCATCCCCGAAATAACCACACCGAACCGTAAAGTAGTCCAACACGAAATCCTCCGTGCCGCTCCTAGCCCCTCGACAGACGGTACACCGGTTCGCCTTGTTGTCGCCGTTCTGGACGTCCATGTCGGGGACGAGTACGTGCCCGCCGATCTCGGTGGCGCAGATGCCGACGGCCTCGTCGATGCGGCCCAGCGCCCATTTGTCGTATACGCCGCTGGGATAGGACCAGTAGAAGGCGCAATCTTTTGCTGCTGAGAGAGTGGTGAAGATGGCGAAGATGATGGCTGGCGACCACATGGCGAGTTGCGGTTTGAAAGGTGAGTTGGAGTTGTTTGCGTTGTAACTCTGAAAGACGAAAGAACGAAAGGCAACTTGAGATGAAGCCATGGCTAAAAGTGCTCTTCAGGCTGGCCTCTCCGCGCGTCCCGCGGTCTCATCTCACGAAAGCCATTTCGAAGATGTTGAGCACCGCTGATCTGTCTGCGAGTCATGGACGCGATGGTGTTGAGGGCATTTAATCTAACCAACGCGCAAAGTCCAGAATAGAAAACTTTACTTTGCAAGCACAAGCCTCTTGTTGTAACCCGCTGTAACCCGCCGATACATTCGGTAAGCCTGGGAGGTCATCTGTGACGACTGCCCTCAGCGATTCGGTTTGATGTCTGAAAAATGCATTCGAACTATGCTCATGGTATGACTTTCCAACATTTGTTTCCCGCATACTAACTCCTCATCATGAATATGTAGCTATCCAACTCCAGGCGCCGTTATGTCAAACATCTCTTTCCTATTTGTCAATCTCTGAAAAATATCCTCACGCCTTGCAGGCGCTGTAGCTGTTCCATCCCGATGCCTGCTGCCACTCCGTCAGTGACTTGATCAACGTCGGGTCGATGTCCCTGTTCGCCTTGATGAAGATCGTCTCGAATGGGTGCACGTTGGTCCCAAAGTATTTTCCGTTCCACAAAACATCGCCGTTTTGCGACGAGTCGCATTCGTCAATGTAGTTCTCGGACTTGTGGAACGCCGTCATCATCAAGTCTACTTTGTACCCATTGTTCAGGAAAATGCTTGTCGCGCCAACCTCGGCGTGGACGGCGTGGTTCCAGTCGTTGTAGCAGCCAGCGAGGCCGACGGGATCCTTCTCATTGCCGAACTGGTCGCTGGCGTGTGAACTGGGTGGAGGGTTCAAGAGCAGGTCCATGCCAATCGAGTCCGTCGCCCAGATCATGGACTGCACGTGGAACCGAGGCCAGCAATTGGCGGTCATACCAACCAGCTGGAAAATGTCAGAACCGGGGTCGCATGTTGCACAGAGATGAGAGGGGCTGGCTTGCCTTGACTTTATCGGTGACACGATCCAGGTAGAGGTCGCTCCAGCACGCCTGGGCCCAGTGAGGGAGGAACGGGCCGCGGATGCTCGCATTCAAGGTGATGAAGCGCTTGTACTTCTTGTAGAGATCACCCTCACGAAGAATCTCACCATAGGCGCCCAGATCGAAGCAGGTGTTGGGGCGCTTCACAACCCTGATGTTCTTCTTTTCGGGGATCTTGCTTTCCGCGTTCGTCTCGCCGTTCAAGATGAAGACGAAATCAGCAGCATCGTGGAGACCTTGCTTGACAAAGTAGTCGAGGTTCTCGAGAGCGGCGGCGGATTCGGCGAAGGCGTAAAGAATCAGGGGCCTGTCTTTCGATGACGATGAACTGGACGGCGAGGAAGACTTGCTTGGGGCCTTGGCTGTCTCTTGGCTAGCTGGCTTGGAGCCGGCCTTGGCGTCCGCCTTCGCCTTGTCTTCGTCTTCTTCATACCATGGCGGCAGGGTGACTTGCGGTGACGTGTCTGGGCGAGAGGCGTCCGGTCGCGGCTTCGAGTTGCCTGATGATGGGTGTTCGGGGACACTTGCAGGCTTACCTCCCGGGTTGACGTTGGGATTCTGAGCGGGAATGGCGGGCTGCGCGGGTTGTTCATGCGTCTAAGCACACAGGTCAGCGAGTCCCCGTCGAAACCGGAAGAAACCCACGATGTGTGTCGGCGTCTTTGGATTAGTCGACGTAAATGTAGACAGCGTCCACAGAAAGATGAGGAACATCAGCAGCCCTACGGCGGTCTGCTTGTTGACCGGGAAGCTGTTCCCCATGGCTCTGGTGCGGGTAGAGGTAGCTCGAGGGATTCGCAGGGACAGCTTTGGCGTGGACCTCGCCAGCTCGAGAGCTCGGAATCGATGCGATTCGTGTGCGATGCGACAGCCGATTATCCGGAGGAGCAGGTCAAGACGAGGCGCAAGAAAAAGATGGAATAACCATCAGATGCTTCGAGCAACAGTGTGGGATGACAATTGAAGGAAGAGACAATGTGATCCGAAGTTGAAATGGGAGAGAGTTCTTGTCTTGTCGGAGGCCAGTCGCAACAAGACAAGGGAGCCCAAGCCAGATTGGAGGCCAGGGAGCTCCATCTGGGTACGGACAGGATGGCGTGGCATGGTATGGGAGTTATTTAGGGAGAAGTGGGCTAGTCAGGGCTGGATGACGGGAGGGATTTGGAGGGAAACGCAAGCAAGGAATGCGGGTTAAAGTTCGAGAACTTGTTAGAGACGGTCGAGTGTGGCTGAAGCTAGTGTTGCTGTCATGTCACTTCACCTTACTCTTGTCAGTGTCAGCGACGATGAAGTGACATGACACTGCCGTCCAAGCGCCGCATGGCACGGCAGGACGGGACGAGCATCTCACGTTGATGTCGTACGCAGTACACGGCGCTGTTGAAGATGAACTGGCTGGCTGGATGGAGGCTCGGGGGGGGGGAGGATCTACGATTCGGTGGATGCAGGCGGACGGGATGCACACTGGTGACACCACCATCCCTCGAATCGACGGCTAGAAACCGGGAGCCTGGACTCGTAAGAAGCCCACTGTCCACGTCCCCCCTGTGGAACTCTCCGATCGGGCTGTCCAATCCAGCGCAGCGGGTCAGTCAGTCCCTGAGGTGGCCTGGCAGCGTCCGCGTTGATGCCGGCCGGGCCTTTCCCCCCACACCCGGGACACTGGCGCCGTGGCTTTTACATTGCTCATGGTGGTGGGTGCTGTTCGGCAGACGGCAGACGGCACACGGAAGACTGTTTGAGTGACGGGCGAAGCCACAGTAGTCTTCTGCTGTCGTGAGGCTGGATGTCGTTGATATTGAAGTTGCCAGGTCATCGGTACTCGCATCCAACCCCCACGCAAGTCAAGGTCGTCATTGCATCAAATCTTGCCTTATCGGGGACTTTCTTTTCCCTCGCACAAACGTACTTTATGTATCTGTAGGGGTTTGTTCCCTCGAATTCCCGTCTGCGCTGCAACCCCCTGCATGTCGTCCCTTGCATTCTGCACATGGCGATTGGTACGATATCGACCTGTGGCTACCTACCTTAAGTAAGTACCTGAGCTGAGGTATGCCGTACCACCTAATCATGTCGGTGCCAATGGCGCATGTCTCGGACGCTCGCTATCGGCCGTGCAATCTCTATCAGTCTTAGATGCGCCATCGCCTTCAAATAAACGTGCAGAATTGCGCCGAGACTTAAACTGACTTTGGGCGGTGCATCTATCGCAATTGACTTTGGCAATCAACGCAAGGGTGGACTTGAGGAGAGACAGCAGCGCACGTCAATCCCGCTAGAGTTGACGACCGCCAAGCCAAGCAACTGCGACCTTTATTCGGACGGAGCATTGTTAGCCCATGAGATGGATGCTGTCTACTGCATAGGCGACCGCCAAGGGCTCAGTCTCGACCTCGCGATGGCCTCTGCTGCAACAGTCGCAACTGCCGATGGACGGTGAACGATGAAGTTCAAGAAAGGACGTCGCAATGGCCGGGATTATTGCAGAAACGTACGGTTGCTGACCCGGAACTGCCTTATCTGGAAATCGTGTTGGAAGGAGTCGCTATCTCGAGCGGGGGTTGCACCGAGTGGAGGTCCATCTCACCATCTCCAACAACACCATCCGCGTAGTAGAAGAGAGGCCGAGCGCCATTGACAACGTCACTTCCCAATCCTGTTCAGCAGAATCGCTGCTCGACTTCAGATTTCACCTCTGAAACACCATGTCTCCTTCAATCACGATCCAGCCGCCACTGTCGCGACGAGGCCACGGTCCCGGCCTCATCATTCTGGTTGAGGCGGGAATCGACCTGGCCAAGCACGACAAGATTCTGGATCCTCCACCGGCGCAGAAATGGGCCGAGGAGGGCTACGCCGTGGCTCAAGTGGTCGTTGCTCCTGGACTCGCCAACATCCCCAACGACATCACATCGGCCATTGCCCAATTGAAAGCGCTTGAGAGCTGTAATGATAAAGACAAGTTTGGCGTCATCGGTGAGCCCTTCATCATCATATGTCACCGTCACGAACTGACCATCACGAAGCGTTCCTCGCCGGCGAAAGACAGGAAGTTGCCGATGCCCTGGAGAGCCATCCTGAGATCAAGGCCGCCGTCTTTTTCAACTTTGCTCAAACCCTCAGCATTCCCACTCTGTCACACGCCTCAGGTCCCGATGGCGGCGGCACCAAACCTGCTGCCGCGTCCAAAACCTATCATTACCCATCAGCCGGCGATTTCTTCACCATTCCGAGCCACGACAACTTCAATGCTAATGCTGCTGGTCTCGCCCACACGCGCACGTTGACATTCCTCAAGCCCATCCTCGGGGGACCGTACTTCGATCTCGAAGCCGTGTGGGAGGAGCATACGCTGTTTGAATTTGGCGAGCGTAATGTTGACAAGACTATGGCCACTATGGTTGAGCAACCTTATGTGAGTGTATTGTGTTAAAGTGGCGGTGCCATCTGCTGACTGCGACGAGGTCAATCATATTCCCACACTCACCGGCGGCGTAGGCCGCGCCCGCCTCACCAACTTCTACACCAATCATTTCATCTTCAACAACCCAGAGGACACAGAGCTTGAGCTGGTGAGCCGTACGGTGGGCATTGATCGAGTGATTGATGAGTTTGTATTCAAGTGTACCCATGATAAGGTAATTGATTGGCTGTAAGCACACCCCGCCCCCCTTGCTAGGCTTTCATCGCTCAGTCTAACGTCTTTTATTAGACTTCCCGGAGTGCCGCCCACTGGCAAACATCTCTCCATCCCCTTCACAAGCGTCGTCAATGTCCGCGGCGACCATCTTCACCACGAGCATATCGCCTGGGACCAGGCGACGGCTTTGCGTCAGCTTGGACTGCTCCCCGACTACCTCCCATTCCCGTACCAAATCAACGGCAGCGGTCCTTCGAGCGGTAAAATGTTCGAGTATCGATTGCCAGTCGCCGGCGTGGAATCGGCTCACAAGCTCGTGGACGAGGGGGCAGTCGAGTCGAATGGCATGTTCGAGTACGGGACGAGAGAGGTCGATGCGTAGGTGTCGGGCTCAATGGGTCGGCTCAAAAGGTGCGGATCTTCAGTCACTCTCCTCGCGGCGGGTGGTCGCTGACTCTAACGATGAAGAATCTTTATTAGGTTTATTATGTTGTTCGGCTGTTATGAATACAATCTTCTCATTAGCAACTCACGAGCTACGGTCGAGAGCCAAGACCCGAGGACGAGGCGCTTCTCGAGGAAGGCTGGTATTTTGACTCATTGTACTTCGACTGTTCCTCGCCCCATCGGACCTCTTGGTCAACCTTGATGCGGATGCCGCCCTTGAGTGACAGGTCGTCGTCGGAGCCAGAGTCGGGTAGGCCCTTACCACCTCGTTCAGATCGCCCCGTGACGCTCGTCGTGACGCCGTATTTGCCGTCCTCGGTGCCGAGACGCTTGAATCCTCTGTCGGCCGACTTGCCGCCGGTTCCCCCAATCGTCATGAGTTCCGTGGGCCCGCGGCTGCCCATCTTGGTCGCGCGGCCGCCGCTGCGGCCACCGCTCTGGCCTCCGGAAAGGTTGTACTTGGTTGCGATGCTGCCGAATTGCGATGAAACCTTGACCATGAGCGGGCGAAGGGTAGGCAGGCACGCGCTGATGACACCGCAGGCGCACTCGACGACACACCACGTGCAGGCGGTAGCAAGGGTCCCTATTGATGTCAGGATGAGTAAAACACCGTAAGCGGCGAGCAACTCACATGTTGTGTCAGTCAACTGGAACTGCATAATCGTCGTGAAGCGGTAGATACTGGCGAACAGGACGCTGCTGATGTTAGGCAAGTTTCTCCCACATTAAGACGCAGTTACTCACAATCCACCCAGCAGGAACATGAAGCACAGCGAGATGCGCTGCACCATGGTAACCTGCAGCCTCCATACCTCCTTGATAGGCAGGCAGAGAATGGCGACGTCCGTCAGGATGTTGGGGATGGCGTTTCCGATAAAGGACGCCTTGAGGTCGATACAGGTGCCATCAATCCATGGCATGTACGCCTTCGCCACGGGCGTGCACTGGAACACGCAGACCAGGACGATCGAGATCCACCAGCCGATGGTAAGGAAGCCGAGGACCATCGCCGAGATCTTGAAGCCACGAGATGGGAAGATGCGGCGGTACATCAGGAGCAGGGAGATCTTGATGAACATGACTGCCGTGACATAGATGCACTCAAAGGCCAGAAGCAGCTTGAGGAACTGCACCTGCTGGTCCAGAGAGAGAGTCGAGGCATGGCGCCCAAGACCTTGTGCAATCACTATGATGCGATGTGAGTCTGTATTCAACTTTTTTATGTTTTGGCATCTGCTTACTGGCATAGTTGAGAGCACCCGCCATGAAGGTGACGATCTGTTTCTGACGTGTTAGTCTTTGCCCACGACACCGCCACCGCCGCCATCACCACACCGAAAACGCACCAGTCCAACGACCATGAACCAGTCATCGAGGCCGTAGTGGAAGCCAACCGTCCATCGCGCCCAGAACCGCAGGCCAACAAAGACTGTCGCGAGAACGAGCAGCGCCGTCGTGGTGCCGCTCAGCTCCGGCCCTCTATTCGCCAAGGGGTCTTCCACCGTAGTGTCGGCCATGGCGGCTGAAAGAAGAAAAGATGGAGACCGGAAGGACCGGCCAGAAGCAACAATCCAATATCTGAGCGTCCGATTACGAAGAATATATAAAACGAGTAAGATGAAAAGACAGGCGAATTCGACTCGAAAGGGAACAACTGGACCCGCGATGTGGGAGCAGCGCAGCGCCTACTCTAGAGTCCTTATACATAAACGACTTGTCGATTCCCCTGGCCGGGAAAAAAAAAAGTGGTAAGACAGAAACTGACTCGGCACTTGAGGGGCAACAACTTGCCGGGTAACAGCAACAGAAATGGTCGATTGGGGCCCTCAGAGGGGGCATGTAGCACTGCCAACTGGGGGGTAGGTATCCAACGGGCACATCAATATAACGGCGTCGTCGAGCCCTTGTCCATACCAGAGTGGCACCGTCACAACCCCGGTTCGACTAGCGATGCGTCTGATCGCAGCGACTATCACGGGAGTTCAGACAACGACCCCATAACCAATACTACGCCGTACCACGTTGCCATGCTCCATCGAGCAACCTCAATCGAGGCATCACCCTCCGTCCTGACATCTCCATTCGGAAAGGGGGGAGGGACTCTGGAGACATCATGGGATGGCGTGCCGTGCGAGGGCTCCTTAGCCGCGATATTGACGAGGTATCGGAGCTTGGTTCATGGAAGCAATATTTTCGACGAGGATAAAACCGCCCGAGTTCGTCGCTACCTCGTGGCATTTTGATCTTCTCTCCTCACGCTCGGCGCCATTTAATCGATTTCCCCCCATCCTCGCCTCGTCTGTCAAGCTTGTTCTGGGCATCGCCCGTCGTCGTACAATCCCAACTTATACACACGTTCCTTACAACGGCCTCTGGCATCCCACCGGTCCTTACAAGTCCATCCTTTGGTACCCTCTTACCTTAATTTATACCACCTCTTTCAAGCATCGATCGGCATTTGTTCGTCTGTGTGATCCCGCGTGATCCCAGCCCTTGACAAAAGCACTCTATCCCCAACCAGAGAAACACACAGAAGACATGTTCCCCAAGATCGCCAGCCTCCTCACCTCGGCCCTTGCGGTCTCCGCGGCCGTCCTGCCCCGTGCAGAGCTGCCCACCATCGTCTTCACCCCGGGTGCCTGGCACGGTCCGCAGTCCTTCGACCTCGTCCGCGCCGGCCTGACCCTCAAGGGCTACGAGTCTGAGGCCATCACCCTCCCCTCCGTCGGCGCCGAGCCCGCCACCGTCAGCCTCGACGAGGATGCCGCCGTCCTCCGCAGCACCCTCACCACCCTCGCCGACGCCGGCAAGCAGATCGTCCTCGTCGTCCACTCCTACGGCGGCATGGTCGGCGCCAACGCCGTCTCCGGCCTGGGCTACCAGCAGCGCGCCAACAACAGCGAGACGGGCGGTGTCATCATGATGGTCTACCTCGCCGCCTTTGCTGCCCCTACCTCCACCAGCCTGGTTGACATGCTCAGCGGCGAGTTCCTCCCCTGGATGAGAGCCGATGTAAGTAAATCTTTTGAACCGTTTTCCCCCGCTCTCTCCTTCTTTGACATACGGGCCCCCTCTGCATCTGCATCTGTCACTGTTCCACACCCTTGCCTGGGCATATGCAACGTATCAGATGCAGAAAGCGGCTCTCGCTTGATATCAAAGACCACAGTCGACCAACACGTGTGAACAGGGTGACAAGGTCTACGCCGACACGCCCGAGACCATCTTCTACGCCGACGTCGACCCCGTCCTCAAGGCCAAGGCCATTGCTGAGCTCAGCTGGGAGTCCAAGCGTGTCTTCTCCGATGACGCCACCTACGAGCCCTGGAACGAGGGCATCGAGGTCATGTACTTCCACACCCAGCAGGACCAGGCCATCCCCCTCGCCACCCAGGAGGCCATGGCCGCCCAGTTCCCCGCCGGCTACACCACCTTCTACGCCAACACTTCCCACTCGCCCTTCCTGTCCCGCCCGGACCTCGTCATCGAGGGCGTCGAGCTGGCTGTCACCAACGGCCAGGCTAAGCTTGCCTAAGCCTTTCTCTCCGGAGGCGTGTTGTAGTAGTGTAGTTGAGATATGACCTGTCATGTGAACAATTTCGTGTCGAGGAGATTCTTCGGGGGTGTCCTCGACCTGATAAGTCATAGCCCCCTTATCCTTTTTTTAGAGGAAAAAGAATAGACAATCAAGACCTCTTTCCTCAAACCATACTCGGTATCACCATTTGCCTGCGAAATCATGTGTTGTGTCGTTCGAGAATAGCTTCACTGGACCGGTTCTGGTCATCTCGCCGCCGTGTTAGGTACGAGAGAGTCCACCGGAAGTTGTCCGTAATCCGTAAGAGATCGCCGTTCCCCCAGGGCCCTGTCTTCTTTAACGGAGATCCGCGTGCGAAGCCTCCGGAAGCCCCTGCAGCTGTCTGGGGGGTCCCGGAACATGCGACGCGGCAGATACGCTTTCCTCTTTTCTCCCACAAGAGAAAGCTCCAATCCAGAAGCAACCGTTTGGGGGCAACTCGTCAAATATCTGCCCGAAAAGGGTCGCGTAGCCGACGAAAACACACGATGGGGGGCCAAATAACAGGCGATAATGTTGATAACGAGTCAAACGACTCATGAGCACAAGCCCAGAAGAGAAAAGAAACAGAAAAAACCTCCGGATATCTGTGCACTGCGCAATCAATCTTTGGCCGGTACCCTACCGCCCACGTGCGCTATTGTCCCTTCTCTTCCAGCAACCCAAGATTATGAAAACAGCTTGACCACCCCCCCGGGCAGTGGCACCAACGACCGTTGCGCGGCGCGCCGCACTCCACAGCTCTTCCCTTATGGCATTGTCTTCAGCAAAGGGTCCCCGGCCTTTCTCGTGTGGAGAACGTCGAGTGTTGTGGACTCAAAGGCCGATGGGAGACAGGAAAAAAGGGGGTGTTGACCAGTTTGACGGGTGGGAACCGATTGAATCCAGGCCTGCCGGAATTGAGTCCTTTTTGCTAAATTCTGCTCTCTCCCCTCCCCCCCTTGTTGATGTGACACTGTCTCGTCTCTGCAACCACAAGCTCGTCTATCTAATTGTTTTGAGTTTCCTGCGACATGTCGTTAGAAGAAGGATGGCCAGTTTGTTTGGTTCGTCTAAAGGACGGGCCGGTACTAGGGAAACGCGCCAGTCTCGGTTTGGGTGAGTGTGCGCGTGTTGGCCTGCGGGAGGATTTTCACGCGCCAGACGCGAAGAAGAAAGGTCTCCGCGGGGGGGAGACCGCGGCGTTCCTCCCGATGTGCATCGCGCATCCTCCTGCATTTGCCGATTTGCATGCACCAACCGGATACCAGTGCCCTTTGTGCCTGGCCTTCTGCGCCTTCTGTGCGTTATTCCATTTGGCAGCAAACCGAGCTATGCCGTAGACGGTAATCGGAGGTCCGGGCGTACGTCTCCACACCACCGGGCCCCGGTCTCCCCGGCCGTCTCGGCGCGCCGTCCTTTTTGCACTACTGCACAGGACGAAGACGGAAACGCATTCCCGAGCCATGAGGTTTGCATGAACGGTACGGAATTACGCGCTGGGTCTAGAGTCATCACGAGATCGTCTGTGTGTTTTCCTACAAGCCTATGAGGGGTTTTCTTTTACTGTTGTTGTTGAAGAAAGTGTCGCCCCCCCCATTCATGGCTACCTGCTGCGCGGCAAATTGCGTGCGTTGCCTGCGTAAGGCAGTGTTGCATTGGCTCTCGGACGCTCAGGATCCACCACCGCCGCCCATCATCGCCCGGCGCCCGCGATACGAAAAGACTGTTAGAGAGATCTAGAACGCTGTCTATAGTACCCTCACAGAGAGTCCACAGTGGTTTTTGGGAGGGACCTATATCAGCGCCAGCGTCACTGTTCAGGTGAGTGAGGCGGGAACAATGCTGTCTCAGTTCGGACATTGTGGCAGGCGAGCCAGACGCAAATTGCGAACGTTGAAAAGGGGCGAAGTCAAACGAAACGTTAAAAAAAAAAGGCTCTTAAGACTTAAACCCCTAAAACGACAGAGAAGAAACCGACCGACCGACGGAGTTGAAGCGAGCCACATCCCGCGGGTAAATTAGACTTGATCAAATTAAACTTTCACGTCAACAAACATGACAACTGGAGATCCCCCAAACCTTCAACGTCGGTTTTCGAACATGTCAGGCTCTCTGGCGAACTTGGCACCCCCAGGTCTAGCGCAGGACGCAATCGTTTCACCAACAACTGCAATCCAACACCGGTTTGGGACCCTGGGCCCTGAGCCTCCCCCCCGTCTCTCTCTCTCTGAGCAAGGGGCCCCCCACCAACGGCCCCCATAGTATCGTCGCGCTCTTTAGCCCTTATCGGTGGCACAATTACGGATAGGCAATAGGCATCTCCAACTCTTCGCCCGCGGAGGAGCAAGGAACGGCCTCAGAAAAAAAAAAAAAAAAAAAAACTTGGCCTTGTCAAATCTCCTGTGACGTGAACTATCCTCTGACAGGTATCTTGACAGGACGATCTCGTTTCATCGCGGGTGTTCCCCGGGACGCCGGCGGCGGGTTCGTCCGCTGAACCGTTGCGCGGTTTGTTCGTGTTGGCGCTGGTGGCTTCCAAGTTCCGCCCATCTCTCCAAGGCAAATCTTGGAGAAGCCATTAAGCTTTTTGCTGATCTTCATCTTGACTCGTGGTGGTGGCCGAACCGCGGTTCCAATCCTTCTAGAAGCAGCTCTCTCTCACGAGGTCCTCGCAGTTCCCGGGTTCCCCCATCACATGCATTTAGATCGATCCATGAATGTTCGTCACTGATCAAGCCGAAAAAGTGATAAAGAAAGAATCGCGTCGCCAGCTTCTGTAGAATGTAACACGTCAACTCCCTTACGCTCGCTGCAACTCGTAACGAAACGCCCACGCCCGACAAGATCGCCGCCGTCAAATCTCTGCAGCGGTGAGTTTCAACACACGCCCGGAACGCCACTGCCGTCCCGTCCCTCTTCTCTGCCCAAGAGAATCTGTCTAATTCCCGTCGGCGAATGGGCTCCCGGCGGAAACAGTACGGCACAGCAACAGCAGCAGCAGTAGCAGGCGAGCATTAGCAATCAGCCAGCAGAGCGAGACGGAGAAAGGCCTCTGCAGGTTGTCGGGGGTGGTAAGTCCCCACTCGCCGAGCGCAGATCTGTATTTTAAAAAAGGGAACACACACAAAAACACCGCGCCTCCCGGACCTACGAATAGGTTGCGGTTGGTCAAGGCCGCAAGATGAGCGGAGAAAGCCCAATGGCGAGGCGGAAGATTATCAAACGTTTGATAAAAAAGCGAGGCATTGAAACAATTGGATAGAATGCTCGCGGCCTTGGGGGGCTAAGCATCGGTGCCTCGGTATGAGCATGAAGATGGCGAACGCGTCACTGAAAGGCCCCCACGGACCACATCGCGGGCGAAGAAAGGCTGAAATGTCTGCCCAGGATCTTATACATCCTATATTGTTATTGCCAAAAGCTGAACGAGCTGCGTCGATATTGACCGGGCCTGGGAGATGAGCTGGAACGTGCTCTGTGAGAAACAACGTGGTCAGTGATGTGCTTAGTAACGAGGGTCCCGGTTTTGTACAATCTCTCGGCTCAACGCGAGCTCCTCGCGTCGCGACGTTGATCATATCTGATCATAGGCGGATCATTTCATTATCGTCGGGCCTGGCCGAGGTAGCATTGTCAGGTCGAGTAGACGACGCTCAAGAGTCATGTTGTGGATGTGTGATATAGCTGATTTGAGGTTCATTACTCTCTTCTGTCTTGGTTCATTCGTCGTCGAGATCTTACTATACACTCTTATACTTCGTGCCCTGGAGGGTTTTCCCTTGAAATGCCAAAGCTTTGCCCCTCATTTCGCCAGCCCATGCGTGATATAAAGAAAAAAAAAAGGTCCAACCACGTCCATGCTTTATCGTCGGGTCCTTCCAGCGGCCACTAGCACGTACAAAGACAGTTGACTGGCTCATCCTGGTATATATGCCCCGACTCGGGCGGGGTGGGTTTTCAGATCGTTAGGAAACAGGTACAAAACGGCCTGTGTCAAGTGTCTTGATGGACACGAGACCACAGTCCAAAGAAGCGAAGGGGTATCGTCTGCGTGGCCACGTTTTATGTGATGGGCGTAAGGAAGGGACTAAGCATGAGCTCGTCCGCACTCGGGCGCAGGTTGTGGTCGATTTCGAAAGTTTGTGAAAGGAATGTCTTGGCGTCATCGGACGCGTGATCCGGGATCGTGGGTGCAGCCTTGCCACCGCCAATCTTGAAGATGGCTTGTAGCTGACTGCAGTCGGGGTAAGGGTGGGTGCCTGTCATCATCTCGACGACCAGGCAGCCGAGAGACCAGATGTCGGCCTTGCGGGTGTAGGATGTCTGCTTCACAACCTCAGGCGCCATCCAGAAGACAGACCCTTGAAGCGAGGGGCGGTGCTTGTTGTTGTTGGCACCGCTCAGGATGTTGGACGCCTCAAGCTTCTTGGAGATACCGAAATCGGAAATCTTGATAGTACCCTTGTTGTCGACAAGGATGTTGGCACCCTTGATGTCTCTGTGAATGATGTCCCGGTTGTGAAGGTACGACAGTCCAGTGAGAATCTGGCGGACGAAGCTACGGACAAGAGGCTCGGGCAGGGCGCCGTATGAGTTGAGCATCGTCTGCACTGAGCCTCCGGGAACGTACTCGAGGAAAATATTGAGGTATTCCGACGACGAGCTGCATCCAAGGTATTGAACAATATTCGGGTGTCTCAGATCGCGGAGCAGACTGATTTCCCGCTTAAGGGCCTCAATCATGCTCTTCTTGCGTGCGTCGTTTTGGCTGTTGGCACCAGGGGCAGGAGCCTCGACTTGCTTCACAGCCAGCAGCTCACCGGTCACGGCATGAAGTGCGAGGTAGACGCAGCCGAAAGAACCCTGGCCGATCATGGCTCCCTTCATCCACTTGTCGTCGGACCAGGATTCTCCCGCGAGGAAGCTCTCGAGCTCCTCGTCTGCGTCTTCCCCATCTTCGTTGAGGGCTTGTGTGAGATCCTTGAGAGACCCAGATCCGGTCGAGCCATCGGCATCAAAATAGCTCCGCCTTGTGACGTTGCCTTCGGGGTCGGTTACGCTTAGAGCCGCAGCGCTGGCACCGTCGGAGCTGTCGGCAAAGGAGACGTATGACTTGCGGTTTGGCTCCACCGGAGACTCCTCCTGAAGGGTGTCGAGCATGGAAGAGGCAACCGAGTCGCGGAAGGCATGCGTGACACGCAGACCAGACCGCGGCTTGGACATGTTGTTCGATGCATTAAGCCAGCTGTCGGCGATGGTGGGAATTGGAGGGGCGTCTTGGATGCTGGACGCGAAGCTGAGGTTGCTGGCCACGCTGAGTCGACTGTTGACCTTGCTCAAACGTGTTGACCTTCTCATAGACAAGCGAGCGGTGCGGTCAATCTCCTCCCTGGGGTGGTCAGGGAAGTAGGATGTGAGGTCGGAAGCGATGAGCTCGCTTGGAGGTCGCAGACCGCCAAATGACCGCAGAATACCCTTGTTCCTCCGCGGACCCGCCGATCTAGGGCCGTCGTTGGATGCAGGTCGCTCGAGTTCCTTAGCGGTGTTGTACACGTTCCGCTCCCGGTCACGGAAGGACACGGGCGAAAGAGGGCTTTGTAGTTCATCGTTCCATCTCTCGCCGAGAAGCTTTTGCACCTTCATCTGACTTCTCTTATCGACCGTCTCAAGGGCGCGGCTGTGGTTCTGCTGGGCCTCCTCGATAGCAATGCCCGCCGCCCTCTCGAGCTCGGGCATCCCAGGCTCGCCAGCAGGCACGCGGCGTAGGATCAAACGGTTTCGCTCGGGTCGTTTTTGGTCCTTGATGATGCGCCACAGCTCTGTGTCGCCCAGCCGTCTGCACTGGTTGGGGTCCGGCTCGATGCCAGCCAGGACCCAGAAACAGTAATTCCTCTCATGGTCCTCTCTCAGAGCAAACTTCCTTAGGGTAACTCGCATGACCTCCTCGCAGGTGTTGCAATCGGCAATCTTGACGACCTTGGTGACGCCTCCTGTTGAAATGACGCGGATGACGTCCTGATTCTGCGGTAAGCCAGCCATCAGTGAACCATCCATACTGGAGTTGTTCCTCGTATGGGAAGTTACCAATCGGCCGGTTGAGGGGACGGACGCCCCGGCGTTACTCACATAGCCGGGGCTTTGGCCATACCGTGGACGCAGAGGGCGGATGGCGTCGGAGCCGGGAAGTGGCGAGGTAGGTCGGGAAGACGAGGTGTCGCCGATGGGCAAAGAGTCGTACTGTCTCGAGTAGCGCTTGTTCATGGAAGGCGTCGGCATGGTGCGGGCACTGGATGCGGACGGCCGCGGAGAGCCGCCCGAGGACGGGGTGTACTGCTCGAGGCCCCCAAACGAATCCTTGAGAACGGTTAGACGGTCGCTACAGGTCACGATGCACACTGGTGGTGGCCTTACCCTATTCCGCTTCTTCTGGTTTGCGTACGCCTTGGTCCTCAACTTCTTAATTCCAAGAAAAAGGCGAACGCGGTCGCCGACTTTTTCGATACCCATTTCCTTGAGGACATCCTTGTCAAGCTCGAGGAGGTTCTCGCCGTTGATGTGGTTCTTGCGGAAGAGCTTCTCGTACTCGCCACACTTGACGCCGCGGAGGTAGTCGCATACCTTCTCCTCATCCCAGTTCTTGACAGCGTCGGGACCGTCGCTCTCTGAAAATTCGGACTCTGTGGGACTGGCGTAGGAGGTTGTCTGGTTCGGAATCGTGGGTGCGCGTCTCGAAGGCGGCATACCGCCGGTCGAGACGCTGGACACCATGGGGTTGTTGGTGTTCAGGGGCGCCGGGAAGGCGGCGGTCTTGGGGGCTAGCATTGCCATCTTTTGGGTATTTCGAAGTTGCTGGTGATCATTGACCGGGTTCGAAAAGGCTTGTCGTGGTGGTTTCGCGCGGGGGTTGTCTCAGCTGCCTCTCTCCTGGAGCGCGTCGTGCCGAGAGAGGATTCCTTGAAGCGGGTGGCCGAGACAGTGGACGGGATGGCGGGCCGGGATGGGGTGATGTTCGGCTCTCTCTCGAGGAATGTTGGTTATGGTGAAAGACGGATGGTCGGTTGCTGGCGAAGGGAATGCTGGCCGTTCTCTCACTACCGGACCGCGAAGGTCTGGACTTGCTGTCTCGTACAGCAGAAGGGGAGGAGAGAATTGGGTTGAACGAAAGTCGTGGGTGGAATTACGGGTACTCCGGCCGGGCGCGAAGAGGAGGAGGGAGAGAAGGGTTAATGATTGATTTTTGGGGGTGCAGCAGGGGAGCGGAGCAGCAGCTCAGGGAGGGGAGGGGGGCGTGTCTGCGGAGGGAAAGTATGGACGATGGACGATGGACGGGAGCGACCCAGGGCAGGCCAGTCACCCAGCGGAGGAGAGCAGGAGAGCAGCCTCAGGTACACTACAGCGAGTGCATGGCGGGCGGGACGGCCACACACACCCAACAGCTGTGCCGCACTTGAGGCAAGGAAGGTACTTCAGGACACTGCCTTTTGACGGGTGACTGTGCGGTACCTGGGTTTAATGAGGGACTAGAAGCGAGCAACAAGCTTCCAATGCTTCCTTTGTGTGCTGTCGCAGCATCCCGCGAAGGGAAAGCAGCCCAATGCAAAGGGCAGCGTGCCACAGAAACAAGCCAGCAGTTCCTTACCTCACCTCACCTTTCTTCCATGCCCCCCTTCTTACCACACTTACGCCGTACCTCACACACTGCAGCGTCTGTTCGCCCTCTCGAGACCACCCAGGCGGAAGTCTCTGGTCAGTAAGTAGAGTATTGTTCCCCTCCCGTATCAGGTCGGCCTCTTTGGCCGGTTTTCTCGGCCTCGCGGACTTGTGTGTTGTGTTGTGATACCTGCCATTCCCTGACATATGGGGTGGGCCATCGGCCGTGACATGACAGCAAATGATACCTCAATTCAGGTAGGTTTTTTTGCTCGGATTTCTGGTGCCGCAACTTCTCCTCTGCCCTGGATGGACACAGGTCCAACAATTTGCTTGCTGACGGCTTACAGCTATTACGGGCCGTCCGAGGGGAGAGGTGACGATGATGGAGGACCCCTGTCGCTGTCCTTGGCGGCAGTAGGTACCTAATCTGCACTGAGGTGAGGTGAGGTGCTGGAGGGGGTGTTTGCAAGGGTAGACCGACGGCGGCGGCTTGATGAAACTGGCTCAACCAGGGGTAACGACCGCACGTCCCCACCTCGCTCGTCCACCGCACCAAACCTCCCGTCCACATGTCGGCTCACTGCTTGCTTGAGCTTCAGCAAGTATTGGAAACGCATCCCCAGGGCGTTCCCTCAGCGGCACAATGTACCTGAGGAATTACTCAGCTATTCCCGAACATGCAATTTGCCCTTCTCAATGCATCGCCGCATCGCGTCCCCTTTCCGCCAATCGCTGCCGTCCAGATATCTCGCGTCCGCTGCTGCGACAAAGCCCAAGACAACGCCATGCGCGCCGGATATCCCTCTAATTATTGTCATCGCCGCCGCAGCATCTCAAGACTGCGGATATCGCATTGTCTACCTACGACCTAAAGAATGTATTAATGGCTAGCTCCGAGCAATGCCGTGTCCATGGCGTCCCGTCCAACGCCAACATCCATCTCGCTTATCTGTTACGCTTCCACCACCACAAAACCCGACATGCGCCTCTCGTGAGAAAACACACATCTATTCTGGGCCCGTCAGCAAGCCAGCCTCAGCTTCCACGCCCCTTACCTACGGGAGGCTGTTGTCATAAAGGCACCAGAAGGCCCTTGCGACAAGCCCCCATTCTGCGCCGCTGCTATGCCACCATTGAACCGTGACAAAGATAGCATCGACCTTTGTTCGCAGACGACGGCTCCGGCCATACTGCGGAGCCCACAGAACACGGGGTAATTGCGCCGCCATCGTGAACCATCGTCACCCAGTTGTCGTCCTATCCTCAACTCATCCAACCGCCCACCTCTCCCATGCCACGATCCGTCACATGGCAAATCACACTCTGTTCCTTGCCAGCAGCCGCGACAGCCCGGGCGATCCTCACAAATGTCGGCATGGCATGGGCCATCCGCCATGGGCTTCATCAGCTTCTCCCCACAACCACCTCCCAGCTGCGTGGAAGTCTCCATCGCAGCCGGGAGCTGTCAGCGCAAACAATGCATACTATTCGTACGCAGTAACAGACTAACAGCCGAAATCGCAATGTTTTCCCGTCTCGCCCGGATCATGAGAGAAACCCCGCTGCAATGATACCTCCGCTGGTTCCACCGTCCGTGGACGATTGACGAAAACCCGAAACGCCTACGCGGTGAGGGACTAGGGGTGCTTGATAGAACAGGACGAGCAAACGTCAACCAACAAGCCCGACTGGTAGCGTACGCAGTGCGTTGAATGGGACCACCTTAGCCCCGTGATCCAACATCAGACCGACCAATCTTGCTTTTACCAGGGGACCATCGCCACTGGCAGCAAGACTGGACTGGCTATCGTGAACCCTCAACGGACGTGCCATGCACGATCAACCCACAATCGCCAAGGACAACTCACAACTTTTTTTTTTTCGCCGCAGAGACTGCAGAGGCAGACAGCGGCGGCGGAGGATGAGCCATAGCTGCGAAGACCGGCACGATAGGGCCGCGTCTGCTGTTGATTGGCTTCCCGTGCCATGCAGTCACTCCAGGGCTGGATGTCTTGAAACCAGTCGTGTCGCACGTCTCGACACCCACTCCGCTGCCCAACATCCCTGGCCTTCTTCTGGGCGCCAACGTCCTGTCCCCCCGCTGGTGCTTGGCCTTGCCCCTCGCTCGCAGTTCGCACCAGAGTCTCCAGATGTCGCCGCGTTATTAGCTCGCCTGACTGGGCCGTCCGCTGTACCATTCTACTAACCTTTCGGCGTTGGCGTCCTCAGATTAATTAACACGAAGACGCCGGTCTGAGCCCGTCAATTGTTTCGCCGCGGGAATTAACACTCACCGTCACTTTGGATGTTGTGTCTTCGTGGATCATCCCAGCTTTGCGACTCCCTAGAGCCTCTCGAGAGACCTTTACAAGACGGTGGCCAATCATGAGCTGCCCTGGTTTGGAGTTGTCTATTGACTTTTTTTCTTGTGCGAGCCGCCATGTAACCTGTGGAACATTGGCTTTTTGGGAAGAATGGCATCTGGCTGACGACCTCGTGTACAGAGACTGGTGATGACGAGTTTTTCGTTATTCTTCCCGTTTCCCCCGCACCATGCGAGCCATGCATTGCAAATGACCATGCGTTTGATGACTCGGTTAGGTACTTGACGATGCTATTTTCAAAGATTTGCAGATTTGCAGCTCCTGTACTGCAGTCGTGCGGCGTCGTGCAGGGCAATCTACTGACCCTGCATATCGCCATCTCTCCTCTCTCTCTCTCTCTCTCTCTCCTGCTCGGCACCGACGATGGAGATGCGCCGTCATGCGAGGGAAATGAGCCATGGCCCGATCACCGTCGACTCGCCACCTCAGAGAACCACACAGTGAAGCTATCATCGTACCTTAGTTACCCAGCCGCCGACGCTGAAGTGGGGCTTGGCGCTTCTGTTGATAATCACGGCCTTCCTCGACTGGTGATGTTCCCAAAGACGTGTCCTGGGGTTGCGCCTTTGACGTTTCACACTAGACCGTCTTTGACCACCGAAAAAAGAGCTTTTAACCCTCTGCCAGAACAGCCTGCCAGCCCAGAGCTGCAGTGGCAGCACCAAATCCGGCTGTTTGGTGAGCTAATGGAGGCCAACGTGGCCCTGGCCAGAGCGGGCGCCAGCCAGCCTGAAACGTGAAACCTCAGAAGGTCTTCCTTGCATATCCAAGTGCCAAACAACCACCAAAAAGGTCGTCCCAAAGCCAACCCTGCAGACCGACGGAGATCGGCTTGTGGGCAAAGCCTCTCCCGGCGCGCCGGCACCTCACCACCCTGCTCGCCGCCCATCATCACGGACGCGACGCAATCCCTGGGGGAGCTTCTCTCGAGTGTTTGCTCGAATGATGGGCCTGTGTGACTGAGCACACTTCCACGTGGACAGGAGGTTCACAGATGGAAACATGACGAGGAGCGAAGGGGGGCCGCAATGCGCCTTGTCCTCGCGGCGGCTCCTTCTTTTTCGCTTAGCGCCAGAGGCTTGCAATGGAGAAGTCAGATGCCGAAAGCGAAGGCTTGAGCGAAGGCGAGCCGTGGCTTGCCTCAATTACGGCACATCTTTTCTTCACGCACTGCGAATACGACGGGGACATCGTGCAACCTGGAGCGTTTCTTTTCGGGCGATGAAGGCTCGTCCTGGTCTACCTGCCCCCCTGCATCTGGGGGTTGTTGATGGGCACGAACGTAGCAGCCAAGAGTTCCCTTGTCTGGCTAGCATGCTGGGCTTTTCACGATGCTTTTCATCAGTGACTGAAAACACAGGGAAAAAGTCTTTAGAAATTGGAGGACGGGACCTGACGAACACCCGCCGGGGTGCGTGCGCGAAAACCAAAACTGGGATAGCCAGTCCGGCCGGTCTCCCGCCACCGACACGTGCCATCGGTACAAACCTGTCAGGGTCCGGCGGCGCTTAAATAGGCTTTCGGGTTGTCGGGCGGGTCGCCGGTCTCCGCACGGTCGGCTATCGGCTTCCGTCCGGTCAGCCCGGGAGGGGGTCGGCCGCCGCACTCTCGGCCTGAGGACGGGGCCTGCTGTCCGCTCTTCGCGATAACGGCGCGGCGAACCCATGAGTCACCGAGATCTATGTGGACTCAGCCGCTGTTTCGAATCCCCAGCGCCTAGGGACTTTCAGTCAAAGTCCTGGGACGCCGTCTGCACAGCTTGTCCGTCAGTCACGCATCGATCCGAGCAATCCGCCATGGACACCACACACAACTTTTGCTTCCCAGTACGAGTGCTCGCCAACTCGCGGGTGAAACTCACGCCGTTTCGGGCAAGTCTGTCATGCTGCCAGCTGATGATGATGATGGTCACTAACCCTCACGTCCCGTCCAGGCCGACCGCCATGCGGCGAAGTACATTGAGTCTACATCCGGACACCCTGAGATCTACGCTCACACCATAGCGGGCCCGTACAAGAGCGTGGACGACTTTGTGTCCAGCTTCGTGGAAGGCGAATCTCGTGTCGACCCGGGCATGATGACATACGCCATCATCGACAAGACGCGGCCGCCCTCGGACGAGGACGAGGAGGGGGAGATGGCTGGCCGGATCTCCTTCGCCAACACGTCGACGGTTCATTTGTGCACAGAAATTGGCTACATTGTCATATTTCCAACGTACCAACGGACGCATGTGACGACCAACGCCGTCGGGCTGATGCTCCACGAGGCCTTCAAGAGCCCCGAGGACGGGGGTTTCGGCATCCGGAAGGTCATCTGGCAGGCCCACGCCCACCCCGGAAACAGAGGCTCGGTGCGCCTGGCGCAGCGGATGGGCTTCCGGGAAGAGGGGGTCAGGCGGTGGCATAGGCTCATCCCGAAGGGCCGTCTCCAGGGCAAGATTGGCAACGGCGAACCGCTGCCGCCAGGGAGCGATCCGGATGACATCTGGCGGCACAGCATGCTCCTTGCGCTCTGCTGGGACAGCTGGCTGGAGGGAGCTGCGGGCCAGGTGCAACAGGCGATGGACCGAACCCGCTGACGTCTGCATGTCGCTGTTGTCTGTGTGATGCCGTGGAATATCAAAGAGACGTCTTTTAGCATAGCGCCATTGCTGCTGTTGTTCTTGTTAGAGTCCCATGTGTGTGCAGCGTTGGAATGTCTCAGGCCAAAGCTTGTCAATCGTTCCGCTGGGTGTTGTCGTCGACAGCTGTTGTACGGCATCCCCTCGCGCTGTGCCTTGCACAACCGCATTCAAACAATTGAGCTTCACAGTGCTCACGGAGAACACGACTCATTGTGAAGCAATGGGAAACTGTCACCGTCTTACTCGCGCAGGTCAACTCTGACTGAAGGTGTTCTGCGTGGTGGTGCGGGCTCTTGGGTGCGCCATGCCATGCCCAACGGTCTGGGTCACTGCGGGTGCGGGTGCAGTACCGAGAAGTGGATCTTTTTCCCCCGTGCCCCGCGAAAAAAACACAAACCCCCTCCAAAAAGGCGCGCCCAGTCAGTCAATCGCTTGACCCTCTCCGATGTAGGGGCACCTCCTCCAACGTCTTTTCCCATCAAACCCGCAAAACCAGCAACCCAACTACGCCCCATCACCGCTCCGGCCGCCAATGCTCGCCAGTGGGACAGTAAGGCTCATTAGATGAAGCTGCTTCGTATTCACGATATCACGAGGAACGTGTGTGCAGTCGATCGCCCGCAGGTGGTGCTACCCCGACGCGGCCACCCGGAACGGGAATAAAGGCAATCGAGTTCCACGACTTTGCTTGTGATGAGAGAGCCCTCGAGCAACTGATCTCATCCGCAACTCACCGCCCCCTCTCTCACACTCGCCCTGGAGCAACAACAGAAAAACCCAAGCTACAGCTCCTCCTCTCCTTGAAGAGGATCATCAACGACCCATGAGTGACAAGTCTCAGGTTCCGGCAGAGGCTGCAGCAGCTGGCGGCGGCGTCAAGCCGCTGGTGGCCTTCCTGGGTCCCCAGGCCTCGTACACCCACCAGGTATTACGAACCTGAAATCACACATCACACGGCATGCCGAGCAGTTGTCATATCTAACATCTCCATGTGTGCAGGCTTCAGTGCAAGCTTTCCCGGACGACGAGTGGGATCTGCGGCCGGTTGTCACCATCACGGGTCAGTGTCTTTCCATGTCTTGATTCCTGCCCCGCGTTCTGTCTTGGCTCTCCTGTTCCGGGTTTCCTGACCGGGCCGTAGACATTTTCGAGGTCGTGCAAGCCGGTGAGGTCGCCTTCGGCGTCGTCCCCGTCGAGAACTCAACCAACGGGTCCGTGCTGTTCACGCTCGACAACTTCGCCGACCGCAACGCCTTGTACCCGGATATCTCTGTGTGCGGCGAGATCTATCTGGACGTGCACCACTTCCTCGTCGGCCGCCGGCCGCCCCGCGTCCTCAACGACGACGCCGCCGGGGCCGGCGGCTCCGGTGGCGACGGCTCCGGCGCCTGCACCCCGACGGCCTCGGACCCCAACCCCCTGAAGCCGCGGACCAAGCCGCTGTGCAGCCTCAAGCACATCCAGCGGCTGTACTCGCACCCGCAGGCCTGGGGCCAGTGCGTCGCCTTTCTGCAGACGTATCTCAAGGGCATCGAGGCCATCGACGTGAGCTCGACCAGCCGCGCCGCCGAGCTCGTCTCCATGGACGAGACGGGCACCAGCGCCGCCATCTCGAGTGAGATCGCCGCCCGCATGCACGGCATCGACGTGCTGGCGCGCACCATCGAGGACCGCGAGGACAACACGACGCGCTTCTTCATCATCCGCAAGGGCCTGGACGGCAAGATGCCGGGCCACTGCGAGCGCAAGAGGGGCAGGACCAAGTCGATGGTGTCATTCACGGTCCCGCACGAGGCCCCCGGCGCGCTGGCTGACGTGCTCGAGTGCTTCCGCAAGTTCAGGCTCAACCTCACGAGCATCAACAGCAGGCCGAGCCTCACGGGGCCCTTTGAGTATGTCTTCTTCGTCGAGTTTAAGGGCCACAGGTTCCAGGACCCGGACGGCAGGGTCAAGGGGGCGCTCGAGGGGGTCGCCCAGGTGGCGGAGAAGCTGAGGTGGCTAGGGAGCTGGGAGGACCAGCGGTCATGAGGCAGGGCAGGGCAGGGCAGCCTTCGGCGAACCCCGTTCGCGATGTCTCGCGCTGTTGCCTCCCTGGCGTCTTTTTTTCCTCTCTCTCTCTCTCTCTCTCTCACGCGACAGCACCCCCACGGCAAGACCCAGCAGCACCGGGACTTTGACGGATGTCGGGATGCTGGTGGCCAGACCGTCGTTGCCGTCTGGTGATGCCGCACCCCCTGAAGGAACATGCTTCGGGGCTACTTGTGTGAATGTGCGGCTACGAAGGGGGTGGTGGGCGCCGCTGTCGGTGGCACACAAGGGGATCGATTGGACGGAACAGGCCTGGACTGGCTGACGACATCGCAGCTATGTCGATTCGAGATAAGAGGTGCGTCGTGGGCTGGGCAGAGACTCAGGAGCGTGGGATTCCCCCCCTTAGCCGTTGTGTAATGGAAACAGCGAGTGCCCGCCGTGGAAGTTTCTCTCCCGTGGTTCTGGACTCTGGACTCTGTTCCGCAGGTCTTTTTTCTTGTTGCCTCCGCTGCCCCCCTGGTTCGTGATGGATGCCCTTTGAAGAGTTTTCTCCTTCGTCTGCGCCGAGTGGTGGCGTCGTGAAGCATGGCCACGGTACTGCGGGCATGGGCATTGGCAGAAAAGGGGGCTGGCCCTTTTGACTCATTGTCAATTTGGAGAGCGGCGGCCGATTGAGAGCTGTCATCTGCAGCAGCACGCGTGTACAATGGGCAGAGATTTACAGTCACAGCGAAGGGGAGATGCGATGGAAACAAGGAGGAGGAAGCGACGGATCAGGGAGCTACGGCTACGGCCACATGTGATGGTATCGCGAGATAACGAACGCCGGTCGCGTGCCTATGTGTCTCACAACGCCCGATCCCACGCGGGCTGGACGGATAAGGGCCGTCCCAACAACGCCCAAAAACCTGTATGCAACTGTTATGCCTACAGGGACTAAGGTACTACTCTGTGAACGGTGTGAGGGCCTCGGCTCAGTAGCACGCCCCCCCAGTAAGCAGAGCTAAAGTTTCCTTTCAAAGCTTTGTACGGTAAGTGTGAGTGAGCAGGGAAGTGAGAAGGGCGGGCGAAGAAGCTCTGCAACCTCTGCAGAAGCTCTGCAACCATTAGCGTGGCGGGTTGAGGGGGTTGCTGGAAGCTCTGCAGAAGCTCTGCAAGTCTTGTCTGGCGCCTACCGTAATCATCATTCTCAACCATCCATCACCCACCCCCAACCCCTCCCATCCTTTTTTTGTGCTTGTGTTTTTTTTTTTTTTCCCGGTCGGCCACCCCCTCTTTCTCTCAACTAGTGTTGTCGGCCTCATCCTCGTTCAAAATGGATGGGTTGCTCCGTTGGAAATTGGGGGCGCATCTCTTCATGGTGGATCGACAACTCCACGCCCATTACGTCCATATTACACGGACAAGAACGGCAGGAAAAAGACCCTTGCGGAGCCTGCGCATCCTGCGAGCTGCATCCCGCGTCAACATGGCCGAGCTGGCCCCAGAAAAAAACAAAAGACAGACCAGACTGGCAGACCAGAGTTCTGACTCCTGAGGGCGCAGATGCCGAGTATGTGCCGTTGCTCGTCAAAAGGGTCGAAGGATGCAGGGAACGCGGCGCGGTGCAAGCCGGGAAGAATGCTGCTTGATGGAGTTTGTTGGAGTGCTCTGAAGTAATAAGCTGGAGCAAGCTGGAGCCGGTCTCCACCGGCCGACACACGTTCCGCCGCGGAACCTCTCCATTGCTTGATTGCCCAGCCAGAAAACCATGAGATTTCATCAGATTCCCGGTCAATCCCCAGCGGGCGTACCCACGCATTTCCCGCATTTACCCTACTGCACTGCGTACTACACGTATGTAGCCATACAGTAGTACAGGCCAGGCCAGGCAGGAAGGACCAGGCACTTGGCCTTACTGGGTAAATGGAGAATGAAGAGTGCTTCGAGTTACAGAGTTTTCCATACAACTCTCTCGAGAGGTACCTGCTCGTTCAGTGTTTTTCCCAGCCGACAAAAGCGGGCTCCGACCCTAGTGCTGCTGGGCGTGGATTCGGAGAGCTGCAATTGGAGAGCCGGCTTCGGGTCCTTGTCTTACTACGCGCACTACACGTCATAGCACAAGGTTTTGCAACGAGACGCCTCCCAGGTACAGAGCAGGAGTACTGGTCCGTACCGAACGAGAATCGTCTGGTCTCCGGATCAGGTACCTCGCCGGCCACTGTCGACGGCGTTTTCGCCGCCTCAGCCCGTGCTTTTGCCCGCGTCAACCTGCTGCCCGCGCTGGATGCGGTACTTTCGTCTCACCTCGCCTCTACCTCTGCCTCTACCTCTGAGCTGCCTCTCGAGTGACTTGCAGCCGGGTGGGTTGAGGGGGAATCTTCGGTCTGAAAGAGGGGCGGGCGCGTTCCATGATCCGTGGCCAGACGCAACAACGACGCCAGTACCAGCAGTAGCGAGCCCAGACTACGAGGATACGTAGCTACATTTGGCACGACGGACGGCTGTCGGCCAAGGCAGTCGGCAAAGGCAGGAACCCAGGGAAGAAGTTACTGACACTGGGCGGTCGTTCCATGGGAAAGCGTGGGCGACATGTGCGTGAAAGGCGACAAGTGACTGCCCGTCGGCGGCAGTGGGAGTGGGAGTTGCAGAGCTTCGGGCAACCCAGAAGGCAACGTGAGAGGCGAGCTGGACTGGACCGTGAAGGAGCTCTTGGACAATTTATAGCCCAAGCCCGCACTCTCTTCCCTCCCTTGACCTTCCTGTCTCTCTCGATTTCGCCATCGATACCTGTTCTGTCGACATATCACGATCTCTCCCATCATCTCCATTTGTTGCTTAGCCCCAGCAACAAGAGCTTCTCACAACGGCTGACAGCTGTCTGCGTAATTGATTGATTGCTGCCTGCAAGTTCCAATTCAGCCTCTGCAACAAACTCGCGGATACCCTGTTCCGCCCGCCCGCGCCAGCCCAGCTCTGTGCGGCAATTTGATCTTTCCCATACCAGATTCCCCATCTTCGCGGTGAGGTGCTTCATCATGGCCATCACGCCTTCGAAGCCAATCTTCTGTGCGACCCACCCCCGGGCCTGCTCTACCGCCTTTGAGAGGGTAAATCATCCCCCCAAGAAACCACTGAACGAGGGACCGGTGCTGCTTACGCTGCCCGGATTCTGCATTCCGAGACAGGACGGCGAGCACGCAATCGTCCGGCGGCGGCCCAGCAAAAACAGAAACAAGGTTCAGGGTCCTGAATCGTGGGAGCAGCCGGGCGAATGGTGTTGACAATCGGTCGTCTCTCGTCCCAAAATCTCGATCTCCCGCTCCCCCCATCCCCTCATCTTCCAAACTTGCTAAAGGGAAAAGCTTGGCTGACCATGGCTTTTTGACATCACAGGTGTTCATGGCCCGCCGGGACAAGCTGGCGTGTGTCCATGAGCCTTTTGGCGATGCGTTCTACTACGGCCCCGAGCGCATCGGTGAGCGTTTTGAGAACGACGCCGACGGCAGGGAAAAGTCTGGCTTCGCCGAGACGACGTATGCCGACGTGCTGAGCCAGATTGAGGAGGCCGGCAAAGAGGTTTGTGCCCTTTTTTCCTTCTCTCCCATCGTTTCATTCCTTCTGCTCGATCGATCGCCCGCGGGGCGTCAGCAATCCCTAGTATCCCTCCACCCCTGCACTTTGTTTCCTTGGGGGTTGCAGAGCTTCTGCAACCCGCAAACCCGCAGTTCACCCCATCAATTCGTTACTTGCCATCCCCCATCGGAAATCGATCCAATTTTCGGTCGCAGAGGCTCTTTGCACCTCGAAACAGAGCTTCTCGAAATTCCCAATTGATTTAAGCTGAAGCTCGGTCGGCTGGGGCGGGTCTGCCGACCGCCCAGGGAAGCTTTGCGGTGCAGCCACCAACTGTACCGGGGGTACCTCCTCCACTGGGCTGAAGGTGTCCCCCCCACACTGGACGACCTGACGGCCCCCGGGGAGCTTCCAGTGGCCTCCCGGCAGAACCGCCGCCGACCAACCAGATGCTGCCGCAATAGTGCATGCCATCGATGGTTGAGACCAGTATCGCTGACTTAAGGACAGGGCGGCAAGCGCATCTTCGTCAAGGATATGGCGCAGTACCTGATTCCTCCCAACGGAGGAAAGGCCGCCATTGTGCCCTCGGCCGGTAACGCCCCCGAGGCCGGCAACCCGACGGTGCTGCCGATTGAGACGCTCCGCAAGTTCCAGTGGACGTTCCTCATTCGGCACCCGCGCCGCTCCATCCCCTCGTACTACCGCTGCACCGTCCCGCCCCTGGACAAGATGACTGGCTTCTACAACTTCATGTCCAGCGAGGCCGGCTACGTGGAGCTGCGCACCCTCTTTGACTTCCTCGTCAAGGAGCGCATCGTCGACGAGAGCAACCTGCTCGTCGTCGACGCCGACGACCTGCTCGATGACCCCGAGGCCATCATCCGTGCTTACTGCCAGCACGTCGGCCTCGACTTTACTGACAACATGCTCAACTGGGGCGAGGAGGACACCAAGATCGCCCAGGAGAAGTTCGCCAAGTGGACCGGTTTCCACGAAGACGCCCTCGGCAGCACCTCGCTGAGGCCGCGCAACAAGGCGCATGTAAGTCACCGTGTCCCCCTCGCAGTTGCTCTCTCAGCCCCTGCCCCGGAGGGAAATCCCCTTGGACGTGGAAGGATGGAAAATCCCCTGCCGTTGTGGTTTGCCCGCCCGGGGCACGCTGGACGGCGGTCTGTGTATACTTCGCAGCATGCTAATTCCCCGCGAGAAAAAGGTCATCACCCGTGAATCCGAAGAAGCCGAGTGGAAGCAGAAGTTCGGCGACAAGGGTCTCAAGGAGATCCGCGAGTGCGTCGACGCCAACGTCAAGGATTACGAGTATCTCAAGAAGTTTGCTATCCGGGTCTAATTGTGTGTGCTTGTGTGTGTGTGAATCATTATAACGACGTTGATGACAAAGAGCATTATCACGAACTGTTTGGTTTCTGGGGTCTATGGGTTCTGAAAGGGAAATGCGTTTTATACGCTCAAGGGGTTTCGGTTTATCATGGGTCATGCAACCATACGTATTGGTACAATAGTCTACATGGAGAGCCGTCTTAGCCACTCTAACGGGCTGCGGATGGCAACTAGTAAAAAAACAACACGGACGTCCTTTTACTTCAATGTACAGGTTTTTGAATACTCATCCGTGATTTTAACACGTCTATCCATTCGCATCCTCACGGCTTCGATTCGGCCTTCTCGTTCTTCTTCTACTCATCCCGGATCGTTCTGTCCTCACCAACCGCCTTCGCCTTGCCCTTCTTGCTGAACTCCGCGGGAATGTCGTCCTTCACCTCCTGATAAACATACTTGATGTTGTCCTTGCCGGTGGGCTTCTTGTCGTCGGGCTTCTTGTCTTTAGGCTCCTTGTCGTTGGGCTTCTTGCTGGCCTTGGGGACCTTCCGCTTATACACCTCAAGCAAGCGCACAGCGTCGTCGAAGAGCTTGTGCTTGACGTTCTCCGACCAAGAGCTCGCGTAGTTGCGGTCGGCGTCGACGGCCCAGGACACCGTCACCGGCAGGAGTTTCTGCTCCCTGTTGAGCTCCTTGAGCGCCTCGAGCTGATTTGCGAGTTTCATGCGGTAGTCGAGCCATTTGCGGCCCTGCAATCTACCTTTGACCCTGTCGCCTCTTCGCACGAACAGGCGGTTGCCGCGGCCCTTGCCGGCGAGGACGGCCGCCATGTCGGCGATGCTGTTGGCGTACTGGTCGTTGAGCCTCTGGCCGCGCTCGAATTTGTTGAGGACCCTGCGCCGCTCCTTGACCGGGCGGGGGCCCTTTTCAGGGGAGGAGAGCGCTTCGGTTTTTACTACATCGAAGCGGAGGCTCTCGTCCCAGCACAGCTCGTGCATCTTGCGGAACTCGCGCAGCTTCTGGAAGACGGACTGGCCCGCGGCGCCCGCGCCCTTGGGCAGCTGGATCATGGCCATGGGCTTCCAGTAGTCTTTGCGGAGCGCCGCAGGTCGGAGTTTCTTGCCGTTGAACGGGAGCTGGCGGAGCACTCGGTGGGACTGGCAGACGGCGTGAATTAGCATATTGTGGGATTTTTTGCTGGCCGTGATATTTGGGAATGAGGGGCGGCAGCAGCAGCACTTCTGCGAACGAGTCGCTCATTGCTCCGCCATTGCTTGACAACCCCTCTGTCAAGCTAGTAAAAAGCGTACCTCCATGGTCTTCGAGTGCGAGTAGACGACCTGTCTCGTAAGCTGGTGGCTCCAGACCCAAATCTGCTCGCCGTGGCCCTCTGGGAATTTGGCCAACTTGTATTGTGGCCTCTGCCGCTTCGGCATGAAGTGGCCATGTCGAACGCTTGTCCTCGAAACGCCGATGGACAGCTGTGAGAATCTGTTGGAGAGCGTGGCCGGTAACATTGTTGCGTCGTGCGCCGTCGCTTTCGGGGCACCGGCGGTGGGCTTGTCGTGGATCGTCGTCGCCGTCGTTCGTCGTCGTCGTCGTCGGCCCCAGAACTTCGGCGTAGCTCGACCTTGCAAAATTTCCCCAAGCTCTGCAATCGGGTCGCGCGACCGCTGTGGCTTATGTGGCTGGTGGCTTTCCGTACTATCTGTGGCTTACATGCCAAGGTCACATGATCCCAATGGGGACTGTCCTATCGATGAGCGATAAGATAATCACTCAATCGATAGGACGATTAGATCCGGAGTGGGCCCCAGCGGGCCCGCGCCCAATGTGACCCCGCGATTTGGGCTTGGTGGTGCACTGATTCCAGTGACGTCGCGGGACTTCCACCAGGTTCTGGTCGCTGCCCTACAACTCCCGGCCTTACCAGACGATGCTCGATCAGTCCATTCGACGGCCCACTCTTCCCAGTTTACAGCCTCGAGAAGCTTCAGTCTTTGGGCATAAATTCAGAGACTCGAACCGACCTTCGGCAATTGTTTTCACTCTTCACCAAGCTTAATTCAACACAACAAAAAAAGATACCCCAGTTGATGATAGACTCTTCAACTTGAAGCCTCACAATCTGAGCTTCGCAACGAACAACAAACCTACCTACCTACCTTTCTACCCTACGCTTTAATTACAACGCAACAACAAAACACAGTCGTCACACACAACTACAACCGCCATCATGAATTCACGAATGGAATTCACCGACAGAGGCGAGAAGGCCGTCCAGGACGCGATGGCCCTCGCAGAGCAGTACGCCCACTCGCAACTGCTCCCCGTCCACTTGGCAGTCTCGCTGCTCGACCCTCCCGCAGACCAGTCAAAGGACCAACAGAACGCGCCGCCGCCGACGTCCTCGATGTTCAGACAAGTCGTCGAGCGCGCCCACGGCGACCCGCAACTCTTTGACAGAGCCCTCAAGAAGACCCTCGTCCGCCTGCCGAGCCAAGACCCGCCCCCGGACCAGGTCTCCGTCGCACCCACCTTCCACGCCGTCTTGAGGAAGGCGCAGGAGCTCCAAAAGACGCAAAAGGACTCCTTCATCGCCGTCGATCACCTCATCCAAGCCCTCGCCGAGGACCACACAATCCAGACATGCCTGAAGGAGGCCAACATCCCCAAGCCGAAGCTCGTGCACGATGCCGTCACGCAGATCCGGGGCACGAAGCGGGTGGACAGCAAGAACGCCGATACCGAGGAGGAGCACGAGAATCTGGCCAAGTTCACAATCGACATGACGGCCATGGCCCGCGACAAGAAGATCGATCCTGTCATCGGCCGAGAGGAGGAGATCCGCAGAGTCGTGCGCATCCTCTCGCGCCGCACAAAGAACAACCCCGTCCTCATCGGTGAACCCGGTGTGGGCAAGACCACTGTCGTCGAGGGCCTGGCCCAGCGAATCGTCAACCGCGATGTACCCGACAACCTGAAGGCCTGCAAGCTGCTGTCGCTCGACGTCGGCGCCTTGGTGGCCGGAAGCAAGTACCGCGGAGAGTTCGAGGAGAGGATGAAGGGTGTCCTGAAGGAGATTGAGGACTCCAAGGAGATGATTGTCCTCTTCGTCGACGAGATCCACCTTCTCATGGGTGCTGGCTCCTCCGGCGAGGGCGGCATGGACGCCGCCAACCTGCTCAAGCCCATGCTTGCCCGTGGTCAACTGCACTGCATCGGTGCGACCACCCTCGCCGAGTACCGCAAGTACGTCGAGAAGGACGCCGCCTTCGAGCGACGTTTCCAGCAGGTGCTGGTGAAGGAGCCCACCATCGGTGAGACCATTTCCATCCTCCGTGGTCTCAAGGAGAGATACGACAGACACCACCGCGTCACCATTCTCGACAACGCTCTGGTGGCCGCCTGCAACCTTGCCGGCCGCTACCTCACCTCCCGCAGACTTCCCGACTCCGCCATCGACCTGGTCGATGAGGCCGCCGCCGCGGTGCGCGTCGCAAGAGAGTCGCAGCCCGAAATTATCGACTCTCTCGAGCGCAAGCTGCGCCAGATCATGATCGAGATTGCGGCCTTGGAGAAGGAGAAGGACGAGGCATCCCAGACCCGCCTGGTCCAGGCGAGAAAGGATGCCAAGAACGTTGAGGAGGAGCTTGAGCCCCTGCGCCAGAAGTACCTCTCCGAGATCAAGAGAGGTGAGGAGATTCACTTAGCCAAGCTCAAGCTCGACGACCTCGAGAAGCGCCTTGAGCAGGCCATCAACGACGGTGACCACGCCAAGGCTGCCGACCTCCAGTACGGCGCCATTCCCGAGCAGCGCGCCGTCATCAAGGAACTTGAGGCCAAGAAGGCTGCCGCCGATGCTGCCCTCAACGCCTCTGGCCAGGACCACGGTGCCATGGTCACTGACGTTGTCACGGCCGACCATATCAACGACATCGTGTCCCGCTGGACTGGCATTCCCGTTACCCGCCTTAAGACGACCGAGAAGGAGAAGCTTATCCACATGGAGAAGCAGCTCGGTAAGATCGTCGTTGGACAGAAGGAAGCAGTCCAGGCCGTCTCCAACGCCATTCGCCTGCAGCGATCTGGTCTCAGCAACCCCAACCAACCACCCAGCTTCCTATTCTGCGGTCCTTCGGGTACCGGTAAGACTCTCTTGACCAAGGCTCTTGCCGAGTTCCTCTTCGACGACTCCAAGGCCATGATCCGCTTCGACATGTCCGAGTACCAGGAGCGTCACGCCCTCAGCAGAATGATTGGTGCTCCCCCCGGATACGTGGGACACGACGCCGGTGGCCAGCTCACGGAGGCCCTCCGCCGCAAGCCCTTCTCCATCCTCCTCTTTGACGAGGTCGAGAAGGCCGCCAAGGAAGTACTCACCGTCCTCCTGCAGCTCATGGACGACGGCCGCATCACCGACGGCCAGGGCAGAGTCGTCGACGCCAAGAACTGCATCGTCGTCATGACCTCCAACCTGGGTGCTGAGTACCTCACCAAGTCCACCAACCGCGACGGCAAGGTCGACGCCACTACGCGTGAGCTCGTCATGAATGCCCTTCGCTCTTGGTTCCTCCCCGAGTTCCTCAACCGCATCAACTCCACCGTCATCTTCAACCGTCTGACGCGCCGTGAGATCCGCAAGATTGTCGACATCCGCCTCCAGGAGATCCAGAAGCGGCTGGAGAACAACGGCCGCAAGGTCTACATTGACGTTTCAGAAGAGGCCAAGGACTACCTCGGCAACGCAGGCTACTCACCCGCCTACGGTGCCCGTCCTCTGTCTCGCCTGATCGAGAAGGAGGTGCTCAACAAGCTGGCCATTCTCATCCTCCGCGGCAACGTCCGCGATGGAGAGAACGCCCGCGTGGAGCTCATCAACGGCAAGATCACCGTCCTGCCCAACCACCAAGACAGCGAGCTCAACACCGACGACGAGGACATGGACGAGGATGACGCCGTGGATGAGCTCGGTGCCGAGTCCATGGACGAGGACATTTACGACTAAAGGGGTTACAACAGAACCGAGACTTGAAGAAGGAAGAAGAAGAAAATAGCATGGGATGATTCACGAAGTATGATTGCAAAGGAATAATGTAGATGTTTCATTACCCTAGAAAGCAGAGGCGTTTTGGGATCAAAAGGGATAAAGTCTTTTCGAGAATGAAAGGGATTACAGTAAATAGGCATAGAACTCATAGAAGTTCAATGAAAAAAGTTGAAAATGTAATGTTCAATGGGCTCTCAATTGCTGTTGATGACTGTGAGATATGGATGTCATGATCAAGACTGAGTAAGATGAAAATAGCATTCACATAGAACGAAGTCATTGTGATTTATCACCTCCCTGTGCGAACCTGGACACGCAGATTCGCAATAGAGACCCAACTTTGTGGCAACAAGATACGACAGGTCGGAGGGGGACTTGATCCTACTGCAGATCGCCATGTCGATCAACAGACAGCTCAGAACCTTTCTCCATGTGAACTCTTGGTGTCGACTAGCCCACCCTTTAGAAGGGTACACAGTAGGTAAATAGAGTAAGAGCACTTCGGCCGGTGCTTCGTGCAGCAAGAAGATCGCAGTAGGTGACTCGTGGTATCGACTTAAGACTGGGAATCAAGCTAATACATTCCAATGCGCATGAGACAGGCCAGAGCACCATCCCACTGACCATCCCCAACTCAGTAGTTTCCACGGCATCCCGTCGCGATCCAATCGGCCCGCTTTCTTCTATGGGCTTTTACATGTGTTGAGAAGAAATAGTAGACAGCTTCGGTTCAGTTCTATTGCGGGGGCCCGGGACCTGCAGCGAAGGGCCAATTCCAAGAATGACGTCAACCTGAACCAGAGCCTCCTCGATGGCACAGTCGCCCGGCCCGTCTGGAATGGTCTGATGTTAATTGGCGAGACCATGCGACCTCGGAAAAATAACAGTACCATAGTATGGGGGCACTGGCACAGATAGAGAGAGACACTGCAAGAGACAGAAGGCATTTGGGACGATTACGGCTGGGGAGGATTGCCCGAATGGCACACTTCCCCGCGCCTATTTACAGACAGATGTGACGCCATCTGAGCCTCGACGGGTGCGGCATCATCTTCGGAGCCCGTGGTTGGTCACCAAACAGCTGCAGAGGGCTATTCACAGCATCTGTGGCTGTTTCACAAAGCCTGGGCTCGCCAGTATTTCGGGATCGATCCACGTCTTCGGGTTGTCAAGATATCGCCTGGGGGGAGGGGGGTTTGAACGAACCTGACGTTTCAACTACGACCTACCCACGGGGTGTTGTTGTCCTGCTGATCAGCAAGTTGCAGGAGAAGAGCCACCGTTTGTTTGGTTTCTGTCTTCTTCTCCTTCTTTTCTGAATTCATCGCCGGGATTGGGTAGCATTCTGCCCGTCGAACGCCATGCAGCTGCGGTGCCACGGATTGGCCATCGTTTACGACCTCGTTGCCAACTTTGCGTATTCGTGAGATCTGCAAACCTGGCCGTGGGATGGCGGGAGAGACTGGCAAAAGGCAGCGGTGCTATTTTTACCACTGCGGCCCCGGTGATCGCCCTGGTCGGGGAAGGGTAACCCACGACGGGGAGGTTTGCCCGTTGTGACCTCCTCCCTGAGCCTCACCCAGCGAACCGGGGCGTCGGGCGAATGAAGGGACTTCGAGCCAGGAGTGGACTGTGGCGGCAGCCCCCATTGCCCAGGATGCATGAGGCGATAAATTGTCCAGTCAAGCGCCGAAGCGACCGCAGCTTTTCCGTATGTTGCGCTCCGGGCCAGGGTACGCTGGGAGCGGCCGTTGATCCCATCGTGGAGATGGGAAGAAAAAGGGCCGCCTCGGTGGTGGTGCGGGCAAAGATCGTGGTGGGTGTCGGCGGACCGATCATGCCGCGGGCGGTGATGCATTGAGGCTGCGCGGCGGAACGCGTCACTAGCACGACGGACGTGGCGGAAGAGGGCACTGGCACGAGTTTCGGCGGAGGCCGCGGAGGTAAGTTGAGGCTGGAAAGGTCCGTGTCGTGTTGCACATGTACAATGTATGTAGGGCATTTCGTCCTGAATCTGGGACGAGAGAGGGGACGATGTCCGATGTCCGGTTGAAGAAGAGGACAACAGAGCGTACATACATGAGCGAGGAGAAGGGCCCCTGGTTCTCAACCGCAGACGGAAAGCATCGACAGGTGACTGTGGGGGGCGGCACAGAATAGGGGTCGATGAAACGGCCAGGTACACAAGAAGGGGATGGAATTCTCTCATCGGCATGCTCGAATCGGCTGCCATTTGGTGTGGTGGTTGACGACAGGCTCGAGTCAAGAGCTGCGATGGCAGGTGTCCTTTGACAGTTCAACACGTTTGGAGGCCGCGAGGCACGACGGGATGGATGAAAGCTTGGTTGCCAACCAGCCCGACGGATTTTGTCCCTCTGCGCTGAGAAGGTCTTGGGATGGAGAGGACGGACCGTAGCTTGTTCTCTATCGTGGAACTGCTCAGCAGATGCCAGCACGGTGGAAGCTTAAGGTATCCGTATTGCCTGCGAGACTTTCAAGGGACGCAGGTTGTCCCCAGCATTCAAAGTCCCCGTACCGTACTTTCCAAGACGGGGGGGGGGGGGGGGGGGGGGGGATCAACTCGTCCCATACCCAAATCGAGGAGACGGCGGGCGGCTACCCGGGCGGTGGGCCGAGAGCGATGACTGTCCAAAATAAGACATTGGATGCTGGACGAGCCAGACACCAGACAATGTGCTCACCGTATCTGCACACCGGCCGATGACCAGTTGAAGACCAGGCCCTGAGAGGCAGCGGGCGACCAAAGAGAGATACGAGAAACGTGAAAGCTTTCGAAAGGCGACGTTGTAAGCGGGAGCCGTTGGCGGCAGATCGTGGCGTGGGAGTGTGCATACGGCAATACAGAAGTGAGCGTAGCGTGGATAGGGCAGGCTAAAGCCATGTTTCAGAATTTTTTAGCAGATCCTCTGACAAGAGTCATCCGAGGTTGTGATTGGAGAAGGGCCAGGGGGCGTTAAGCTGGAGCATAAATTACCAGCATCTCCATCACGCCTTTGAGGTGCTGCACCTGGCAGGCCTGGCTTAGCCTGGACCTTGGCTGTTGATGTCAGTGGCCCCATTGGGAAACACGTCGCAAGCTTCGTTGGCTTGCTGTGGTGGCCCCCCTCCCCTTTTTTATTTTCCAAGGGCCAAAGTCTCTTTTGCCAGGCTGGTGATTCGACCAGAGCTGGTGGATTAAGGTGCGATGATGGCCCAGGTTTTGAGTCAGTAAACGGTGGCGGCCATGTCCAGCACTCGCTGCTCTTTTGTCAAGTCGTCCATGCATATACATGCGGATCTCGTGTGATGGCCCGAAGTTGAAGAGGGCAGGAATGGCCGACGTCGGTTGCATCGTGTCAGCAAAGCCCGAGGAGGGCTGACCGAGAGATTCTCTAACCCGAAGACTGGACGTGGTTCGCGATGTTGGTGGTCGAACCCCTGAAGGAACCCAGGAGAGAGCACAGAGCCTCCCAGACAGGGTGTCCGGCTTTCCTTGGACCCAGGCCGGTACATTCGTGGCTTCTGTCAATTTATCCATGACAGCAGGTCAGCACTTTGTCAGGTGCTGCACAGAACATTGCGGTCAGAGGGCTGGATAGTAGGATTCGCCATGCCGGCCAGAAGTCATTGCGGTGCACAGGATTTGTGCTTTGTGATGTTGAGTAGTCTCGTCCCAAGTTTGCTGGCAATGACATATCGGGCTTGTCAGCCGCAGACCAAGTTGCTTGTTGCCGGCATTAAGATGTGAATCTGATATTGGGCTAGGTTCCAGCTAAGGTGCGGGCATGTGAGGTATGGCCGGGGGCTCTCGCTTTCCCCAGAGCCCCAGTCTGAGGGCTTCTCGAAGGCCAGCCGTCGTTCCCGAAAAAGGCAGACGGATGGTGGTGGCCGGTCAAGTTGCACTGAGATGTCGCGGTTATATGATGGCTTGTGGTAAGTTTGTAGCGACACCCCGGTCTGACCAGGTGGTTAGCGAGGGTTGTGCACACCGCGCTGCAACTCTGAAGACGACGAGGCACGCCCAGAGATGGAGAAATGCCTCCGAGCAAACGGTGTGGTGTACTACGCAGTAATGGACGACAACTTGTCAGTGGCGACGAGCGAGGATGGTTCGTCGGGGCGATGGAGACAAGCCAACGTCAAGTCAGTTTGGCCCCCATTTTTGGGTCATGCTCCAGGCCAGACCCCTAATTCTTCAGCGCAGAGGGTGTCTTTTGCAGCAATCGGCTACTCAACTTCGGCGAAAGATGAGGCGCTGTTGACGGTGATAGATCGGTGACACTGGGGAAGCGTGTAGGAGATAAGGGACGGGATCCCGGCTCGTATGGAGGGATGGGACCTGGTTGACAGTTTGGAGGCTTCGTTGACGGTGGTTCCATGGCATTGGATGAGGGGTTGAGTTTGGTGAAAGATGACTGATGACTGGCCGGTGGTGGCGGTGGTGGTGATGGAGGGAGAGGAGGGATGTGCGTCTTAGTCGGGTCGGTATCAAGACCAGGCGCCAGGATGGCATCGCGGCATCGGCTGGGCCTGGAGCAGCTGAAGAGTGTTGATCATCCCAGACGGGACGATGTGGAAAAGCAGGCCAGGGACGAGTCGCCGTAGGGCTGGTCGGTTGTGTCGTGTTGACAGTTGGACGTGGACGCTCAGACACGTTGCGGTCATATCTGCGTCTTGAAGAGGAATTGAAAGACAATAGTCCCGTCGGGTCGCTTGGAGACGGGTAGTTGGAGGTTGATCCGGGGTAAGGGCCGTGGGATCAGGAATTGAAGGACAAGCGATTGCTTCGAGGGCAGACAGGTTATTGCCCGCTAACAGACGTTGGTGCGCATTCCGCCGAGTTAGCGTGTCGTTGGACGAGGTCCCGTCCCGAGTCTAGACCGAGACCTACCCTAGGTACTGCTGCGGTAGGTGTTAAGGTGCTTGGTTTGGTTTTGTGGTGTATTCGTACCTATTCG